GTGCACTGGTGCCTCGAGCGTGAAGCTTGAACAATGAAATGCAGCTTGCACTATAAAACGAAAATAGACACACACGCTCGCTGATACAGTTATGCAATTATTGCTTTTCCTGTATATAACGTGGGATACTCAATTCAAGCACGGCCCATAATAGATCTCGCCATAGGGAATTAGCTGCTTATCGTGCGAGCATCATTTATCTTCGCAAGAAGGTAAGCTAAGGCCGGGGATTCCTCGTATAAACCGCCCATTTATTAGACATCGGCGCGTATAGGATTAATCGACGTCAGAAGAAACAGAATAAGATAGGACATGCTTTAATTAAGACACGATTCTGGATAAATACGATCAGGCAGAGCCGCTGCTGCAATCCTTGAGCGCGAGCGCGCGCTCGCAAAAAGACACCGCAGATGGTAGAATGACGTTAATCGCACGGTTTCTTTCTCTCTCATTTTTCTCTTTCCTTCCAAGAGCGCTATTTGCACGCAGTGTATCCAAATGTATTCGCACGCACTCGTCGCACACATCACGGACGTGGAGAAGGAGTGGGCGACAGAGAGAGAGAGGGGGGGGAGAGAGAGAGAGAGAGAGAGAGACACACACAGAGAGAGAGAGAGAGAGAGAGAGAGAGAGAGAGAGAGAGAGAGAGAGAGAGAGAGAGAGAGAGAGAGAGAGAGAGAGAGAAAGTGAAAGCGAAACTGCGAGCGTATGCACGCGGATGCACCGAGGAGAAGCGGAGTGCGTGGAGTTGTATAAAAAAAGTCAGCAGGCTAGCTCGTTTCTTTTATACACACGCAACAATGGTGTCGGCAAATCGCGCGCACATGGCGCATCATCATCGCTCGTATTTTCGCCCGTTATCCCCGAGTTTGCGGGCCCTTTATTAGTCGGGGTTGCGTGGGAAAATGAGCCAATAAAGTCGCGTTTAAGCGGCCGAATGAAAAGGCAGATGTTCGAGATCGAGGAACGCCGAGCTCTTGCCGAGATCGAGGTCCATCCGAAAAGCTCCGGGACGCGCAGCAGCGCGCGGATCCGGACGGCCGGTGATTTATTTGTCCCGTCTGCTCTATTTTCGTCACTCGGCGTGCAGCCGTGTCTTCCCAGGCTGGTCCAGGATGTACCCGTGCGCGACGTTCGGATGTATGACTCGCCGGAGTCGTTTGACACTCGGCAGCGCACCACGTGCGCGGCTCGCTCTTGCCCTTGCGAGACGCCATTTCCGGTGTGCCGTGCCTGTATATATATGTATATATATATATATATATACATATATAACGTGGGATGAAGGAAATATTAATCTCGCTATTTCTGGCCTAATTCTCGAGCAGCGCCACCGGAACTGCTCAAATATTGATCCCCGAGTATCGGCGAATCGCCACAATAAACTCGCGCGCGCGCGCAGTCAATATTGATAGATCGCAAAATAAGCGAGAAAATAATCCGATACGCACTACGCATACGCAGTTACGGCAGCGAACGTTGCATTGTTAACGAATCGTGCACTGCTCCTTCGCCCGTTCAAAATTCTACAAAACGCTACTTGAATAGTCAAATGATTCGTAACTCGAATATTTTAAATAGTATATAACGATTTTACTCCGAATAATTACATATAATGGAAACGTCTACGGCGCTGTTAATATCAACCGGGTAATTTCTGCACTCGGACACTCGAGCGTTTAATTGACACTTCAGTTCGCGGATATTGTATGGGTACTACACGAAATAATCGTATGCCTTGATACTCATAGAAAATTAGAAAATCACAATAACGTTAAAATGACGTGTCAAGTCAAAGTGATGAAAAAATATTCGAAAATAAATCTTTATCGTCATTTTCTCAGATGACATTGTGACTGATTTTCTATTCCGCTTGATTTCCATCTTCCGTCCGTTTGTTATCGATTTTCGCAGCAGATGACTTCGCTCATCAACTGTGGTTTGTGTTTTTCGTTCATCTAAGGCAAGGTATTAACCGTACTAACCAGAAGACTCGATGCTAATCGTTGTACGCGGAGCTCAGATGCAGAATAAAATACGTGGAAGTGTGTTTCTGATACTTCAGTAAGACAATATATCAATCGCATCTCGATAAGAAATACTCGGCAGTTACTTTGTCATTTATGAGACGAAGCAGCGATTACACGGAAACCTTCGCGGGCAATTTTTGTCCGCTTTGAAACTTGGCCAGCAAAATACTCGCGTGTCAACGTAACTTATCACACGTGTAGCGTAACGCGGTCGGCTTAAAAGTGACGACGTCGGCTATTTGCGAGGCATTCGGCGAATAGGGACTCCGTAGTAAGAGCTTAATATAGCGCGGTCATGAGCCTCGAATTCTGGGCCAATAATGTCACGGTTCTCTTCCTAGAAACACGTGAAAAGGAGGAAAAGCAAATCGAAGCGTGTTATACAAATTACATTTCTCGTAATGTAAGGAGAAATCCAGTTGGCGCTTGATTGTTATCGATTTCCATTCCTCTCTTATAAAGTACGCATTTAATGAATTAATAATTCATATATTATCAAGAGATAAGGAAAAATTGTGGAAAACGCGCATACATTTAGCGCTCGCGTATTTAATGCGTCAGGATTCCAGGACAACCGGTCTCGATTTCCTTGAGGCGTCGGAGGACGTTCCGCGACAAAGAAATTGACGTAAAATCGATTTCGCGTATAAAATAGCGCCGTATAACGGTCGTTGAAGTGGGCGTTGGCTTTCTTTCGAGCATGAAACCTCCCGACAGTCCATTTCGTCCATTACGAGCTTCGTTGGATACAAAACGACTTACTTTCGCCAACCAAACTTTCCTTTGGTCGACAAACCGTAATTCAACTAACTCTCTTTCTTCAACTTCCTTTTAAATGCCCACATCGCTACAGAATGCTATGGCTCTTTCACTACATACTCCACATAGATACTCCACATATCACACTCCCCCATATTGAAAGAAAAATTATTAAATACATTCGTCAACAATTTTCACACAATCTTTTCCCAAGAAATAATTGTATATGGAGTATCAACATTACCGGAAGGACGTTCTTTTAATTATTGGTTGTTCACAAGTAGTCTTAGGATCAATTTCAATCAAAACTAGAAAACTAGAAGTCGATATTATCGCTTGGTTCAGGATAAAGCTTTCATTTCGACTTGCAAACATTTTGTTTTGCAAACTAACGTTCTCGCAACATGTTCCGCCTTGCTCGATTGATATTCAACAAAATCACCCGCCTTTGTTCAGACAGAAAATGATAAAAACTTCGTTTACGTAATCACGTCCGTGTAATTCCCGTAGTCCGTGGCGCGTTAAATATTCAAATTACGCAGAAGAGCAGAGAAACCGGTAGGGGAGGGGAGGGGGGGGGGAACGGGAAATCTTGCAATCCGCGGTTTAACCATCGGCGAACAATTTCGAGAGAGAACTAATCTTTTCGATTATCTGCAGTCGACGCAGAATTGCAACTAAGCCTCTTTAATTTGCTCGCACTGCTGCCCGACCGAGTCTGCTGATTTTGCGCAAGGAAAGTTCGTTATGTTGAAAAATTAAGGACGTTGTTTAATTCCCATGCAGATACGTATTCTCTTCTCTGAGATTTATTCGTGTACAACTCATAAATAAGCCATTGACGTTGATTCATCGCTGAGAGATGAATCCGAGATTTGTCGTGCTAGAAAAGAAACCGGATGTGACAAATGGCGCAGGTTTAACAAAATTAACACAACTGAATATTCGCCGTATTGGCGGGAGTCAACAGACATCGGTATTCGAAGCAACGTATTCGCACTCGACAGTTGAGAAAGTCAGGCGAGTTTCGCAATATCCAGACACGAATCGACCGAGCAAAGAAGACTGGATGTCGGTCGCGTTCCCCTTCACCGATCGGTTGACCACAACTCGGACTCTGACTCGAATTTGTCACACAAGCGGAGGTTTCCTCAGGTATCGAAATTTTCCGTCTTGCTTTCGTCTATCTTGCTACCTGGCAGATCGAGAGAGAGAGAGAGAGAGAGAGAGATTCATAATCTCATTCTTTCCGAAGGAAAACTCATCGGACAGGTGTATTTCCCAATGCAATGCGGGTTTTCACGCTTGCGTTCACCTATTATTGCCCACTTGTATCCTATTAAAAAATATCCTGTCAACCATATTTTCAAATTTGACATTTCATTTTTATTTCATGTGAAAGGTACCTAATCATATCCGAGGGATGACAGCCTATAAAGTTCCTGATTTAACAGTCGTCGTGTTAAGGGAATGCCAGTGCGAGTGACGAGCAGCAAAATGTCGATAACGTAGAAGCTATTGTCAAAACGTCACGTCAAATAAAGACCAGGTTACTCTTTTCGTATTTCTTGCACATATAATTCGCATAAAAATATGTGTTGCTTGTCTTGCGTATATTTGTAGCGTAAAATACAACCGCACGAGAAATATTTTTGTAAAAATTTTCCGCATATTTTTATCCCTTCAAGGGGATGCCACATTTGTGAGAAAAGTTTATGGACAAAATATACCGACGCGAAAAGTTTACGTCTCTTACTGGTCGCACAGAATTAAATCAAATCGCTCCTGTGAATGACTTGCGAACCTGTGCGTAGAGCAAATTTACATCTGCATACCGCCGCCTCTTACCGGTATACATAATCTTCTCAAGAGAGAGCTGTGAGTGCAAGCTCGCGCTGGATATTCCTGTTTAAAGGGACGTTCCGAATTGAAATCATTGTTTGGTCGCTCCGTGCTGTCGCAACAGATAATAAGAAGCTAAAGTATGACGCAATGCAACGAATCCGTTTTCACGCTAATACGAGGAGAGAGACAGAGAGGCGAAATGTCCTCCAAGAATCAGTGCGTGGAGAGGTGGTGACAGTAAAACCTGGAATACGTACGCATATTACCATAACGCGCGTCCTTCGGACCGGTACCCACATCTCCAGCATAGAAAGACATTCTATCGACGCGTCCTATATCCATACCATTACCGGCATTCGCACTCACCTCCGCTAATAGAATCAGCAGCAACGGGATGCCGCTGAGTTTGGATTGCCGCATCGATCGCGAGCAGGACATCTTACGGCGCGCCATCCTCGATGAATCTCACCGACTGTCCAATTTCCGTCTTCCTGCAGCAGCCGCTGGCCACGCCTGTTTCCCGCAGCTCGCCGGCAGACTGACACACTCCACTGACACTTTTCACACAGAACGGCTCACCCCCACACTCGCCCCGAAGACACCCCTCGGCGCCCGGTCAAAGTAACGAGGAATGCTTGAGGAATGTACGTGTCACATCGATTGATCGACGACTTACTTGGGGACCTGCTTCTTCGAGCCGCGCGTGTGCTATCACAAGAAATCGTGTATCCCACTCCGGACACCTCGCGGAGGTAACACCTGTTCGATCGTTTGACAGCTACGCCGGTGTCGGAGGTAGTTACGGCGGTAATGGCGAAGGAGCCGAGGGACCACGCTGGAAGGAACGACAGTTGCCATATCAGCCGGCGAACCGCGCGTGCCGTCGCGTCGGAGCCTCCTGACTGACTGAAGACTATATGTGTTATCACGAATCCGAACTACCGGAAATAATGACGCGGCCGATGCTCGCGAGTCCCGTGGACGTCGCTGCTTTTAATCTCTGGACATCCCCACCGTACATCCGCGCTCTGTGTCAGGTGTCCAGAGTTACGTAAGTCTTCCCTGATTGAACGCAGTAGATTGACTTTTTTCCTTCTTCCGTATCGTATTATAGTGGCTCTCCTCGTGGGGCAGCTCTTCAACGAGCTGCACGAGCTGGTATTTCTACGAAGACTAGACGGCTCGGATTTGTTGCGGGCGTTCGCGAATGAGCAACCGAGGGCGTTTCTTCAGTCAGGCTTATCTCGCCCCGCGGTGTAACAAGACAAGTGGAATGTTTCTCGCGTTAATTTCAAACGTCGTGATGCTTCCCTCGCGTGCGGGACTTCTTTCACGACCCGGAGGATTTTCACGACCCGATCTGCGTCTTCCTCTTATCAATCTTATCTCTCGTGAGTACCTCCTCTTACATCATGACGTTGAAAATATTTCACGTTTGACAAAAGGTTTAAGCGTTCGAAGAGAGGCGATCGGTAAGTCCAGGAATGCCGAGACGATATCGTGCCTTTATTTCGCGTCTTGCACGTTACCGCTGCCGTTTGCTCCGCTCCTTTTTCATGTTAATCAGCAGAATACCGGTTCGTTCGCCTCACCGATGACCAGCGGACGGTTTCGTTTTCCTCGACGTTACTTTTGAAATACCTCATGTAAATATATCGTGTGCAACCCGCCGAGAGAGGGTTGCACACGAGGGAGAAAACAGCGACCGCTGGCTGAGAACGTTACAAAATCGATTGGTCGTTGGCAGCGCAAAAAAAGCGCATACTGCACCGTTTTTTTCTTTATATCTAGCCGCGTTATGTCCCCTGCTGTATTATTCCGTCGTCGCGCCGAGCTGTTCGCGAAACAAGATACGATATCAAATGTATACCCTGTACTGGATCTACTTTCATCCCTCCGTTACCATGCGGTCTGACCACTTGAAAGTGCAAGAGGGAATAACGAACTGCAGGGGTGACGCATCGACGTGACAATGATGAGGTGATGGAGGCAAGCTCCGCCAAACATTAGAGATGGCCGGAAGAGATCGTTCGGTGATCGGAAGCGCGCGATTCTGTCTACAACGAGAGGTCGGTTCAGTCGTTCCCTTCGCGCGTTTATTTACTCTTTGTTCTAATCTCAACGAGGTGATGTCTAATAGTCATTCGAACGTTTCCTCATTCGGAGGACGCAAAATTCGTAGAGAGTTTCGTGAGAAAAATAGAATCGAGGAGATCGTACGACAGTTCTCGGGGCTTCTTGTACGATGCACATATGTCTAGCTAGATCTCTACTGTTTTTACTGCGCTTTATCCGGTGTCACTGATAAAACATACAAGTTCAACCGCGTGACGTAACGCAAAACAATTCAATATAAATTATGGCCGTGTTCTGCAGCTGGCCACAGTTCTGCAGTTTTCTTCATGCGTACACTTACCGAGAAGGAAGTTTCCTTCTGTCACATTTACTGTGATCCCCCGCGCGGTATATTACACGTGAGAAGATTTACCGCACAGCACGTCACAGATCATAAGGCGAACCTATTCCGAATCACTGGTCGCGACAAAAGCCACGGTAAACGAGAGTTGTCTGGTATATGATCGGGAAATCCGTCTGGCTTTAACAAAAGAGCGCATACCTGGAGCCGTTATTTTGAAGCCATTGTCCTTCACCGCTCCGTGTACCTTTGTTAGGACATCGAGAAAAGGTCTATTTGCGCGCTATTGGAACGTCATGAAATGCTAATGAAGAAGATCAGACCTAAGAGGAACTCCGTGCGATGACAAACACCAAACGCCGAACGCAGAACGAGAGAGAGAGAGAGAGAGAGAGAGAGAGAGAGAGAGAGAGTCTCTTCTCCTGGAGCATAAAATCACCGGCTACCACGAGGTACTATCCAAAACCAGGACACTGGTCGTATATCACTTCACCGCCCCAATCACGCTTCGTTAGCACGAGAGGGAAGAACATCCCTGAAACTCGTAATCTCGTTCACCACTGCAGCCGCTCGTTGATCCAGCCAGACATCTGCCTGCCGTCTCTGTCATCCTGAGGTCCCGGTAAACCCCCGGGGAGGAAGTCCTGGAAGGTTCGCCGCCGGCCGCCGCGTGTCAACGTCGTGCTCCGAAATCGGACGCAAGCGCGACGGAGAGGAAGAGCGGGGAAACGAACAGCAAACGGAGCGTTCAGCTTGCTTTCGTACGGCCGGAGGTGTACTCGGTCGACTGACGCGCTTTCATGACGCCTCACCCGGGGCAGGCGACCACCAGGGCCAACGGGACCTCGGTTGCTCTCTCGATACTCCACTCCACGGCTCCGACCGAGGCAGAGCCAGCTAAACCGCTCTCTGCTTCGTCCCTCACTCCTGCCACCTCGTCGAGCAACCTGACTGCCTTTCCATTCCAACTCTGGCTCCCTCTCCTTCTCCCCCCCTCTCCACCTCTCTCTCTCTCTCTCTCTCTCTCTCTCTCTCTCTCTCTCTCTCTTTCTCCCTCCCTCTGCCGCCCCCGTCCTACTCTCTCTCTCTTTCTCCAATCTACCTTGCTGTTGCCTCCTTTGCTCTTCCAACCTGGCCTGCCCCGGCTAGACATCCAACGCAGCCGCCGCCACCACTACCGTACCCATTGCCTCCACTTCCACCAACTGTCGATCGGTTCTTCTCTTTCTGGCTCTCTTTTCTTCCCGCTCGCTCTTCGTGTATGTACACGTTGTGTTGCACGACAAGTACGGCTGAACTGTGTGTGTGTGTGTGTATGTGCACAGTAGCGTAGCTAGAAGGTGAGGGTTCAAGTTGAGCGCGGTGTGATGGATGAGGCTTGGTTACTTGTGAATATATATATTTTTTTTCCAAATTCCGCAGCGCTATCTTGGCGCAAGTAACACGTTGTATTTATTATAGATAGATCTTGCGTCGTCTTCTACAGCTACGGTATAATCTTCTGGCAGTCATTCACCCTTTTCCGGTATTCGCTCCACGTACTGAAATCAAACACGTGTCTGGTGAAACATGCGAATATGTTAAAGTGGGAATGCTAAAATAGGCGGACTGCGTAGTAGTTTTGAGAAGCTCTTCTTAAGAGATAGAGGAAAATCAATTTTTCCTCAGAAAGGAGTATCATGTAAAGCTCCCTTGCATCTTCCTTGATTTATTTCATTTCTGTCATCTGGACCATTTTCTCGCGCTCTCAATGGCCGCTTCCCTTTGTCCTTCCAGATTGTAAGGTAGTAACTTAAGTCCTGGGGACGAGCGTGAATATAAATGAGACACGTGATTAGGAAACAAAGGTAATAATTAACATCGACTCACGAGAGTGATTTAGAAAATTTGAATAATATTGTTACTGTTTTCAGCGATTCGGTGCAGTTTTAATAAGAAATCTATCTATCATGAATCACAGGCCACATCTGCTCGGGTACATGTGACAATGGCAATCGATAACTGCCATTACTCAATCGCGGAACGCGTATCGTCCACGTGTCACATTAAACGATAAATAGGAAGGTATCCGATAAACCGCGTGAATATCACACGACACTTAAAAATAAACGTGCCGCCTGAGGAAGATCTTGAAAATCTTGAACGTCGCACCTGACTTCAAAGCCATGTTGACATCGTCTTCTCTTATATCTTCTTTTTTCCCAGGGTAACGTCGTTCTCTGCCCTTCCCTATAAGCCCCCATAGTGTTGCGAACCAACACCCTCGTTGGCTTGTGCGAATGCGACACGTGCGTTTGTGTACAAGTATACTACCGACCACACATCTATCTGCTACCTACTGTTTCTTCCTGTCTACCACCCATCTCTCGCTATACCTTCCCTTGTCCTCACCGCACCTCACCGTGCATTCCCCCGGCCTTTGCCCTCCATAGTGTTGTTCCCGAGGCGAGAGCCTACACCTGACACATGCGCGCGAGCGTGCATACACACGAACAGACCTCGTTGATGTACTACCTTTATTCATAGAAGTCGTTGCTCTCCCACACCTACGCAGGTGCCCTTGCTCAGAGTCAGGAATGTAGTTAGTGCAATCTATGCCCGCGCTGCAAACGCTAATCCATAATCTATATTATTCGCGCGCGTTTAACATTCATATCTAAAAAATGACTGACGAAATCAATAACGCGCGACAAGGATGTTAATGCTCGATGATTCGTTTCACAAATTTTATTCAACTGTATAGAGAGAACACGAACACACCACAAGTGCAAGAACCGTTACAAACTTTCCACTGTCTTGATTCTTTTTATGTATAAATGATTTATGAGTACTTTACGCAATTGCAGCTTGATGAGTAGCAAAATATTACCTAAGCAAAGCATATTCAGTATCAGCGTCAAAAATACAATCCAGCTTACGTCATCAGAGGCTACTTTCACCGTATCGCTGATATTCCAATTGCTGCAAAAGTGTAGTAAATGTAAATGACAAATTTGCAAAAGGAAACACACACCGCACGCTTACCTATCAGAACTTACACTCACATCAGAGTAAAAATTCACAAATAACGTAATGAGAAAACCAATTATGTATAGCTTGCGAGTACATTTTTTAAAAATAAACTATATATTTCATGTATGTAAAGGTACGTCAAAATATACTTATAAATTATCATAATTATAAATAAAACAATACCAATTATAAATAAACTGTACACGAAAAGAGCTTAATATTTTTTCGATTAAGGATTATCTCCCAGAATTGTATTTGAATAAAATTTACATATGTGAAGAAACTTTCGTAATAAAATGAAAAAAACATTTTACACTTGAACGTATGAGTAAGATAAGCAAATAAAATTGTTAGTAAATTCTATTATTACATCAGAGGATAATATCGTTCTCTACTATAACATTTGCTGTTATTGCTAAAAAATAGAAAAAAATAAGAGAAAATATATAATTGTATTAATAGTTGCATAAAAATTTAATATAATCTTCTTATTATTAAAAATAAAACAGCATAGTGCTGATTTATAAATATCATTATTTCATGCTTATTCTCAACACTTAGCAACTGATGGTAACAGGACAAATCCGATAACCAACGAAGTGATTTCGTCATGTCTCAATGACGACTAGTTAGATGTATTCAATTGTCCACAGTCGCAAATAAATATGTATATTTACGAGCTGCACGGCGGCGTGGACCAAGAAAATCTTGACGTCACCGACAGGTTGAGATACCTTTTGTCATCCTCCATCTATGCCTGTCATGACGTCATCGTCGGAGCAGTTGGACCGCAGGCCTTTCGAGAATAGATGGATTCTTCGCTGATAGTTTAAATTCGGGAGAAATGGCTGACCCTATTGGTTTTTAATTAAAATAATTTATCTTGTGATAAAGGTGTCAAAGAAAGAAGATCGGAGAAGTGTAAAGTTATTATTCGAGTAGATGCTGATAAAATAAATAAGCTATGCGAACGCACTTTCCAAGCTAATTAATCAAGCACACCTGTGCATGTGTTATAATGTACACAAACTGGCAAAAATAGATTACATTGACACCAAACAATCTTCAATTGTATTTATATTTTATCATAAACGCTTCATAAGTTTGAATAAAATTACATGCAATAAATTACATTATAATAAAGTCATTTCTATGAAAGATAATGAGTTTATTCGTTGAAAACCTGACGTGAACTTTAATCGATTACTAGCATTTTGCAATATCGATGATCTCTTGATTTTGGATCTTGATCGAGAACTTCTACAAGTTGGGGACACCTGACAACTCGCGATCTATCGCGCATGCGCACATACTGGTCCTGTCCGCCAACGTCGGACTCCGGCGAGTAACGTAGCGAGTAGATGTAGCCAGTCCTGGACAGACGGCCGCCAATCCAGTATCTCGCGAATTACTCGCCCGATCTACAATCGATCGACTTGATCCGACGTGTGAGCGAACTCACCGGGAAGAAAACGAATAAAGAAAAAATAAATAAATAAAGAGTGTTTCAGTCGGTGTGCAGATTTGGGATTACCCTTTCTCGCGAGGTAAGCTCAGCTGCATTATCTTTTTCCATATTTTTTGTAATTCTCCAAAAAAATTAATATGTTGACGTATAAAGATTTACTTTAATTTACCTTTCGTGCACCGCTATTTTATACTCCGTATTCTATACGTCGCTGAAAATTATATATGGAAATTGAACATTGAAGAAATTGGAATCTAAAATTGTACCATAAATTCAGAATTATCAATATTGAAAAGTTTAAAAAGTAAGCCACTCGAATTATTTATAAGTAGTCTGGACATGATTATCCTGCAAACGGATTTAGTACAATTTATTAATCACTAGTCTGTAAATTGGAGACGTTACAGCCGGTGATTAACATCAATTATCTTAACATAAAGCCAGCCTGTGCAACTATCTAACTATTTCTACTGAATTATTATTGGTTCTCTGATCACGACGTTACCGACTCCATGTAGTAATTAATCTTCTGTCATCGAAACAGCCGCAGCGCCTTTGAGTGGCTGCAAACAGTGACCGTCATTATGCCGCACATGTCATTGGTTAAACACATCGTGATTCCTGACGTTGCCAGGTTAAAAAGTCCACTCCCGCGCGGAAATCGCTCTGAATTCTTTCGCAAGACTTCATTATGCAGCATTCAAGTATGCTTTTTTTTTACATTCCTCAGAGCGAGAGACTGTGTTCGTTATCAGATTTTCGAACAGATACATCTGCGACATTATGTAGCAACTGGAACTTGTCTCTTCGAGCGTACGTGATACGATGAGCAGATGATCGTACTTCGAAGATAGGCGGAAGGTCGAATCCCACTTTCCATCTTCGCGGATCTCTCTGCCATGTTAGGCGTGTTTCAAGGACCGCTCGGAGAGTAAATATCGACGTGCACCATTCAAGCGTCGCTACAGACCTTACAACGTTCATTAAGTGTCTCGTAAACGATACATAACGCATAAGAATAGTGACATAATCAGCGAACTTTTGATTCCACGCAAAGCTCTTTTACATACAGTGATATTTTCTCAGAGTTGGAAAGTATATTAAATCTTAAATGTTATTACTAATTCCAAAAATTAGAGGAGAAAGATAGCCGATTATAAATTATAATTTTCATGTATTAAAAATAATACTTGTTTCAAATAATTAATCGCTCCACTCATGTCAGATAATCAGAAGGAAAATGGAATTATTTCCAACGGCTCCCATATATTCTCCACTGCTGTTCTATTTAATTTTTATCGATACTTCTCTTAAGATGGTGCACTTTTGCACGAAACGAATACAAACCGCGCTTGTAGAAAAGTGAATAAGACTGATTCGCGTATTTGGAATGAGAGAAAAAAAGAGCGTCATGCAACCAAAGTAGAAGCAAAAATAGGCGTAACGTACGCGCGCCAAAAACATATTGGCTGGTGGCTTATAGTGCTTCTTACCATCGCGTGGCGCGCTGAAAATAGAATCGCATACGCCGCGATGCGTATCTTTTCTCTTATTTTTATGAATTTGTACGAAACTATAAGTTTTATAGGAAGATTCGATTTTAATACCTAATATAATTACCTAATATAATTTAATGAATATTTTACAAATGACAACAAACATTATGTGTTGCTGGACGGTATAATGGCAGGCACGTGTGCAAATTTTATGTTGACACTATATATACGAGCAAAATTTATGATTTGTTTGTGAATACGTTTGTGTCTGAAACGTCTGGCATTAGCAAAAGTTTAATAAAAGGGGTGACGTAAAATTGAAACGATAGAACATAGATATCAAGCAAAAATAAAACTTGCGTTAAAGTCATATTTTATTATATTATATTATACAACGTATCTTTTCTATAATTTTGAAATACCATTCGTTAAAGAAAATATCGAGATTACTGAGACATTTATTATCCATACGTCGACAATAAGAAATCTGCTCGTTGAGAGGCAAATGACGACATGAAAGTGGGTGGGTTATATTTAAGCAGGTTAAACAAAGAGCGGAGAATAGCAGCGGGTGAAGGCAGGAAAACACGCACATGGCGACGAGGAAGAAAATGAGAAAGAGATGAGACTCTGGGCGCCGGTTGGCTGGACTATTGCCATCCACGTAATATCAACGCCGTGATTAAATTTATAAGAGATTAAGTTTTATACTTTTACACGTGTCACATCGATGTCACATGTATAAGTAGCGTATAGTCTGTCAAAGTTAAGGAAAGTAGCATTCAACCTCAACGTGTGAAGTAAGAATATCAATTAGATATCAATTGTGTGATATCCCATGCAAAATATAACATTGCAAACGACGATGATTTTATCTTCGACAGACTACGAACATAAGTTTGTATTCCCGGTACGATTGTCGGAATTCGATGAATGCCCAATGAAAGCAACTCATTCATATTCGATGGGACTCGATGATATTTGTGCTTACTACCTTTTGCGCAATTGCTTCCTGAATATAAACACGGCACTTTCTCCCGCATTGACACGGTTATAATCTTGTAACGTTTTCATACGTTTTCACCATCCCACGCATGCTGAATGAACCCTACACCGTAACCAGTGTGATTCTACAATTAACAGTACCAGATACCAGTTGTTGCGTAATACATATTCGTATACAGCATGCTACTGCGCGCTACGTTCCACATAGTATATCCATAGTTGTAATGTTAATATCCGGGTACTCGAGTATTATAAAAATTCGAGTATTATAAAAAAGTTGACTCGAGTATTATAAAAATAAATCCCGGTACTAATCATATCATGTGTGTGATTAGGGGGTGCACAGCAGCATAAAAAATTAGTTGTTGTGGAAACTGAATAACAAATTGCGAGGATAAGTTGATGCGGAAATTAAAAAAACAAGTTTATGAACATTACCTGCAAGTTTAGCGTTTCGAATACTCGGTTATTTCAGGTGATATTTGAGTTTCCGATTAATACCATTAATGCAAACTGCAGCACCAGTCAAGTACTCGAGTACTTGGGACTTAGAGGATTACACTACTCGATTCATACTGACAATATTAATTCGTAGTATAGTGCTATAGCAACGTCGCGATGCATATTGATATAGCAGTAGTATTAACGACGTAACACAATCTCGTATTTACGACGCGTTCTTTCATCACTGTCGAGTATAATGAATGTACTTCTTGTGTGTGTGCAATAGTTCCTAGTATTTTTTTTTTTCCAAACGATATCAACCATATTGTTGTCACATTCTGTACAATCACAATTCATACCTCTGAATTCTTACCAAGATCTAAAATATAGGTACTGCTCTTCGAAAATTATATATTGTTCTTCATGCTTATATATTTTAATAACATTCTCCGCACGGAAGTCATTCATCGATGTATTTTAAAATTGAGAAGCTCTTGTTCCTCAGAAACGAAAATATACGTGTAAACTTCTAACACGATTTGCATTATTTACGAACTCCGAACAAACGAGAAGTTCTGTGGTCGTGAAACGGAGCACGTTAGTCACGAAGTTAGTTCGTTTTCGTTCGCGCCGCGCTTAAAAGTAACTTATATCGATGTCTAAACGGTCCCATGATCAATGATAGTCGATCATCCGATCTTGTTAGACCGATCATTGAGTTAAAGTTGTTTAAATCGGGCTTTTGTTATTTATATCGTATAGCTTCGTGTCAGCTTTTCCTCGATTTAAATTATCATTACATCGTATAGTCGTGAGCTAACGCCGACGTAATTTCGCAGTGCAAACGATCTCCCTGCGTTTCCCTCCTACCCGCCGCGAACAACTTGCTTAAACACAAAACCGATCGCATAACTCGAAATTAATGACGCACAGGGGAGCGGTTATAGAAAAGAATATGAATTGCGTGTGACTTAATAGCCGGCGATAATATCTATTTTTTACATTATGCACATAACTTGCACGCGCGTGAAAAAATAAGAAGAAACAAAATTTCATAACTGATGAAGATCTATCCCTATGCTTGTTGCAGCAACATCACAAGAGAATTTAAATAAAACTCACGATAGCTTTCTTGGAATCGAACGAAACGCAGTTATCGTTGTTTTGATCGGCACGATAACCTTGAACGGCGGGATACACTGTCATTTACGATGAAGTCCAGTTAACTATCTGTTTAAAGCGGTTACATCGCGCGCTATCAATGGCGTAATTGCAACCGGCGATTATATGAAACCGTTCCGAATTCCAATGTATATGTCTAAGTGTGCGTCTAACTGTGTTACTCGGAGATCGGTAATCATTCTGTGGCGTACTGTACAGCATTCCCCTGCGTCTTGTGTATACATATGTTCGGAGCATGATTCGGATTTATTTTTGTCACTATTACAAAGAATTATCTTTATCGTACAATTTGTTTTTCTGCCAAACGACTCGTCCGAGCTTTAATTACGCCACTGCGATCGACACTGTTTATTTGACCTGCTCAAGTAATTACGTGTACGCATACTCCGTTATTAAATAGAAATGACGTGGCTTGCTTTAGAAATCGACTTGCGATAATTTATTTAAAAGTGAAATTGTGTGATAAAGTCCTGAATAATGCAATTAAGTCGAATTCCTGTGTGAATCTATCTGACTGTTAAATTTGGAAATTATGCTATAAATTTGTAGACAATATGGGTCACACACACATACACACACACACACACACACACAATGGTCATCGTTACAATTGGAATAAAAATAGTCAACTTGTATACATGCATATAATATTCTATCATAATCTGTGCGTGTGTGCGTTCTCTAACTTCTCTAAAAGATACGTATTCACTTTATTAAATAATACGCTTGAAATAATACGCGCCCTTTTGTCTACTTTGCTCGGAGTAAAGTATCTTCAATGGTAATCTTGATAATGGCATTCGTGTGTATACAGCTCGAGTATGGTGTCATTAACTGCTCGTAAATCATAATCAACGGCGACATTCGTCGAGAAGGCGCGCACAATACCACAATTAGCCTTGATCTGCATTAATCTGACCTTGAGGCGAACCTGCTCTCAATAAAAAGCATCCGTCAGTGCCAAATTCGGGTCATAACAGTCTCCTCAGCATTATTAATACGACCAAGGATTATACCCGCGCACCAATCATATTATCGTTTCTAGGACCACATCCAGCGACATCCAGGAATCATCCCATGTAGACGCTCTTCGCGATTTTGAATCATACAGATACTTCTTTAGCTGCTGATTCTCAGAAGGCCTCCTTGGCCTCATAGCCCCATTTGCATTGGTGCCTGCCGCGGAATAAATATAAGACATTTGGCATTTCCCGTCGATTTAACTTCCAGACTGATCTCATCCCTTTCACCAGCCCGGTGGTGTATTTTGAGCAAATCAGTTTCTGCGAACCTGAACATTACGCTACCTAAGACGTAATAAAGCAATACAGCACCTATTAGCGCGGAGTGTCGGCGCACAAGTTGCCTTTTCTTTCTACATATTTTATCAAGTAGCCAGTGGTATGTTGAAGAGCGGTCTTTATGACCGAGATAAAAATTTACGCGTGCAGAATAGAAATCATAAAATGCACACACCCACTTGAACCTAGAAGTGGCAGTCCCGGTTGCAATTCTTGCGTTAGCCTTGCCCATAAACCGGCTCCGAGTGCCGGACGCGAAAGTTCCCGCGTCGTACCTTCAGGTCCGGAATTTAATATCGATTCGGCGATATTTATAACTCCAGATTTCTACAAATATCACGCTTCGCACCACGAAACGTACCCGATTCGGTCAACTCGACGCCGATAGCCCGATCAATGGCGAAACAATTACGGGGTTACGATCACAATGAGATTAGGCCTTCAGATCGGGCTCCTATATTACTCGTTACAGATTTCGTGAGGTAGGGCCTAAGAGGAGCGCAATGTCAGCAGCTGTGAAAGAACGAACGACTACACACACCACCAGGAAAATTGTGAGTCATGGCGGTCCTATATCTGGCCAGAGAGACGGAGCAGCTACAGCCAGCAGCCTCGAAAACAACTTAGGTAAACCTTTAAAAGTGCTACCGGAGCTGTAACCCTATCCATCCATTGTTACATTCCGTTTTTTTCCGTCGGACGAATCGAGCGAATCTTATTATGTGCAATGTCAAATTACTAATGCAACGGATTTGTATATTCCTACATTTTAAAGCATAATTACTGGGCTTTTAATAACGTAACTGTCTTTAATTGTTCCCTCTTCTATCAATGACCAATGTGACGAAGCAAACCTCCTGTAATATACTAACATATACTTCCTGTAAAATAATACTGTAACATTTTACATGTAACATTCGGTTTAAAATGGTGTCATGAAGAGAAGTTAAGCATAACTTACTTAAACATCAATTGTAGACATCTACTACAGTTGTACTGCAATTTGTCTCTTGGTACTTCTATTCCTCGTTAGGCCAACGTGAACGACGACTTATCAAATTGGTGTTCGTTTGGCTCTTTCAGATGCACTTCTAGAAGACTTGCAGACAAGTGTCTCGAGAAGTGCTACTCCGAGCCGAGGTGGCAGAGCACTCTCGCCCCAAGTTGAATATCGGGTGGCTGCTAACCCTACCAAAGTAGTCTCCGAGGGCAGGTGAGAAGAAAACGACGGTTTTAGATTAAACGATAATTCATAACGGAGTAGTATCTGTTCTGCTCTTATCTTGGTTAATTTAATTAATTATTCTAGTTAATATATAAAGACATTTTTTCAAATTATACATTTTTATTCAGACCCATCTCTCCGGCACGTACGAGAGTGACCACTACTGAAAAATTCGTTAGTAGTGGCCCAAGTGGTACGCCAAGCGGTATACCGGGATTGGAACTTCTGGATGCAGAGCTGCAAAATGTGAGTTGTCAAAGATATTACATTTGAAAAATTAATATTATATTAAAAAAAAAGAACAAAAGACAAAATCAGCTAATATGAGGTCAGCAAATCTATGAAAGTCTAATAAATGACAAATAAGTATGGCTGGGATATTAATTTCTTGTCTCAAATACTCGATGGTTTAAAGTAATCTCTGATGAGTCCGAACTTTGATTCAAATTTGAATACCATGTAGGAATCCAGATATTTGAAGATAGAAAATATCTGGTTTATATTGACAGCACTAGTATGAGTTGCACTGTTCTCTTGATTGCTTGATGCAGATAACAGATATTACGTACCCTGAGGATAAAATTCAGGAACAGGAAAGAACGATAATCTCGACACGCGTCGCTTGGAATTACGTATCGACGAGATGCTGGTTCTTGTATGAAAAAAGAAATGCGCGCCATGATTAATGCATGCAAGAAACTAGTCTCATATATCGTGCGTCCTTGTTGAGATTATTAGACCTGCTTTTGAGCAGAAAAGAACCATTTTGATTGCTTGATTTTAATTAAGTAAGGCTTGCTTAATGACATATGAAGACCACTTCTTGGTATAAACAACTCGATCAAGAAAGAACAAGAAGCAGAAAGTTCGATTCATGCGCAAAATAGTTATATTATTATAATTGCAATCTAACTGTAGAATTATACTGTAGATTTAGATTTTAAATGCATTTAATTACCATTTGATTGACATTTGATGATTCTTTGTCATTCGATTCACTTGGAATTTACGAACAACGAAAAATTTTTGGTGCGTCTCTAATTGGCTCGATCTTAGATTTAGTGAAGAAAAAGATTAGAGTGAAGAAAAAAGCAGTAAAAATACCGTATTAAAACGACTACGTCTTGCTGAGCAAAAGTGTTCAGGGCGATCCGCAATAATTGTAGTAATGGCATTGACATTTTATACGATATATTCGGCATTAGAAAATGACGGTGAGGCGCAAGATCAGTGTTGCGTGTAACTGAGGCCGAGGTAATTGCAACGTTCGCCTTATCGGTCGTACGACTTATGAACCGACGTTCAATGAAAATAAATTGGCTATGTGTGTAATTTGCTCTCGTGCACACCCTGCTCTAGCTGGATATATCTTCGAACTAACGGGTTTGAAGATCTTTAAGGGACGCCGCCTATCTTTGTCCGCGATGCCACCTATATAACGATACCACTTATAAACGCGTACTCATATATTCAATAGTTTGTGGAAGTATTTGCTGCAACTCTCTCGTATGTATTGGATTAACGCAAAAGTTTTGTTGGATTTCGTGATGGAAAAGTGGACCAAGCAATCTTATTAAAAACGATTTATTCGCTCTACCGAGTATAGTCTCTCGCCCCATTGTTTTCTGCCATCCGATATATTATACATCTATATATTGGTAATTGCTGCCATAAAACTGGATCAGTCACGACATCTTTGAGAAACCCATCGAAACTTTTGCATTCACTCAATATTTCTCGTGAAAGTAGCACGCGGGTTACGCGCGTGAATCGTGTATATAAGAAACGTAACAAAAAACGATGTTAATTTCATTCATAATGTATTGGTAGCTTCAGCACGTAACACCAACCAGTGTTGAAGTAACTATTGGCCTTGAATCGATTGGGATTCCGCGGAACTCAAACATCGAGAACGATTCGCCTACGCTTTTTACGTGGGACAGTCTTAATCGACTTCTTATAAGGAGACTTTGACGCCTACTCCATCGCAAGCTTTAATTTGTCACGATTATTCGTGGGGTGTTGTTGCATACACACACACACAAAAGAACGAAGATGATCGGAATGCCTGTGCGTGTATGAGATTATGCCTTGAGGAATTCGTTTTCTCTTACATTTGCAGGTCCAGCCTGGTCAGAGCAAGACGATCGCATATAAGCAAGTGTCGTACCAGTACAATAAGGATTTAGACGGAAAGCCAGGTGAGGAAATCCATATGTGCGCTGAATTATACGACACGAATACGTTAGGTAGCTGATATAGCGTGACAAATGGACAGCTATATTGTAACTGTGGTGCATGCCGTAGAATGAAGCAAACTACTTCGTATTGACAAAGATCGGTTTCTTCGGATTAACTGAGACGAGTAACACCTCGGTCGCGCCGCGTGGTCGCGACGAATAGCGCGGCAGCGAGCGCGTTTTAAACGATCACGAAAGGTAGGGGAGCCGGTTGCTCGTGTCGCGCCTTAAAAGGCGCGCGGCGGCCTTGCTGGTTTACAGTTAATTGATAATGAGAAAAATGAAGCGTATCAGATTTGAGTGCTACACGCATCTCTCCCAGCGAGATTCTAATTACATCGCGCGGCGCGAGCATAGGCGAGATCCCGTATTGAGAATCGCAAGTCCCCCCCCCCCCGCTTCTTCTTGTTTCCGTGGTAGAACAGACAGGTCAGCTGATACAAACGGACGGTTCATTCCTTGAACCTCGCGTGGATGTATCCGACACGCGTGTTGTTACCTCCATTGCGATCAAGCACCGCGTTGGAAGGCGCAGAGAGGTTTTTCCCGCGTCCCTGTATTTGGCAGAGACGGCGCGCGGTCGTAGCTCATGTTCTTTATGCGATCGCGCATAACACACACAGCGTAGCCATATTAGGACAGCTTGTAACAGAAGGCTGACCCGATTTCTCTGTATCTCCGCTATACTCTTCCCAAAGAAAGGATAAAAGATAAAAGAGAAAGACCGCGGGGGAGGAAGAGACGGTTGAAGGTGGATGAGTTATGACGCCGCGAGAGCAAGGATGACCATTGTCATCGGGTCAACGGGTGAGGGTCGTCGACCATTGAGACCTGCACTGGCCGACAGAAAGAAACGATTGCCGGAGTAGATAGCGTGTTATAATCTGATGCATCTTGGAAGATCGAAATCAATGACAGAGATCATTGTGGCTTGTACTCTTTCGTTACATGGTTTAATAATAATAATAATGTTTGATGGACAGGGTTTAATGGTAGTTATTTAGAATTCAGTTCTTTAGAATTTTTATTGTTTTAATATATTTTTGAAAACATATCCCTTTCAGTAGTTATAGCGATAGTATACTGGATAATCTATTGTTCCAGATTCGTGGATTACATCAGAAAGTAAACTGCCACTCACTGGCGCGCCCTTGATGTGAGTATACAGCTCTGCTTCACAGTGAAAATCTTAAAATACCACCGGTTTCTGAATGGATGCCAAGCGACTTAGTCGCATGACGCATCTATTTCTCATTAAAATGGAATAATCATATTTTGTCATCGTTTCTTAATGCATGCTTGCTACTTGAGTAAAGTTTATTACAAGTCACAGTGACGTTAGTACTCGAGTACTCGGATACTCCAGTACCGCGCAAATACTAGAGTATTTTCTAGGGTCCGGTTACTTGAAAAATTATTCGAGTACTTGGATACTTGGTTATCAGTATACTATGATTATATGTAGTAATTTGAAAAAATAAAAAAAGTAACAGCAGTTGATGCAAAAATCAATAATAGATAATATGTACATGAATATTACACGAGTATGATTTTTGATTCCAAATACTCATTATTTTGATTAGAAGTATAACTGTTTTTTACAATTAAACTGAAAATTACGGAATACAAACAACTTACATGTTTATAGCGACGACATTCATGAATCTACTTACGAGGAAAGTAAAACTCCAGCGACGTATCAAAGTCCGGAACCGATTATCAAGAAAAAAGTGGTCAATAGAGAACTGGTCAGTGAGAGTATATTGCCAGAAATCAATAATATTTTATTTACTTTTATTAATATTAAAATAAAAAGACTATAAGTATTACCAATAATACAATTGTATCTTTTAGGTCTATGGCGACAGCTCAACACCTCGTTCGAAGCAAGCTTCCTCTCTGTCTGGGGCTCAAAAGGATGTGAAGTATATCCATGAAACCAGTACGTAATTTAATTGCGAAATATTTCGCTTCTGATCTTGTAATATAGATTTTCAAATAAATAGATAATCTGCTTTTAGGTTACCAAACTGAACCACGACCAGTCCAAAGCAGTGTAACTACTGTACACACGAACGTACCGCAAGAATACAAAACTGTTGAGTACGTGCCAGTCCCGTCGCCAAGTCCGGCGATACCGATCAATCTAGCACCCGGTCCAAATACAAAGGTGACCACTACAATCAAGACATATACCTACGAGTTACCAGGAGCACCAGAGACATATCTACCAGGTGGCAATATGCCAGGAAGTGTTGTGCTTCCTGGTGAGCAAACAATTACATATACCCTACCGAGAAGCAGCAACATCACAGACAAGACCGTCACGTACCAAACCATGACGGAAAATGCTCCACCGGGACATCCTGGGACACCGATCAGATATAGCAGCCCGTCTCCGACTGATGTCACTAAAAAATCAACAACCATTCATAAGGAGGCCAAGTTCTATCAAGAAGAGCATCATGGAACATTGCCGTACGACGACGGCCAACCGACGCAGCCTTCTTACACCTATCGCACTGCTCCACCGCCAACAAACATGGAAACCAAGACTACCGTAACCAAAAAGTATTACCAGGTCGATGGTAATTATCCTAATGGACACGAGCCGAGCGATCGTCCGGACTATCCTGGCAGTACAACAGTCATATATCAAAATCAACCGCCAACCGTCATGGAAACGCATACTAGGACTGTCAATCGAATCGAAGAGTATGGGCCTGGCAGGCCGTCCAGTGACCATCAACCAACGCTCGACAAACCGGACACTTCGACGAAAACAATAACGACCTATTATCCACAGCAGTCGCCGCAGGCTGGTACAACAATCTACAAGTTCTCGAATACCACAACAACGATACCGCCGAAAAAGAACGCGGATGATCACGAAGTTCTCCTGCCAAAACCGTTCCCGACCGGTGTTCAAGTGTATCCTACTAAACCGACCACCAACGGTGAAGGTCCGCCAACAAAACTCGAAGATCTTATGGCTTCATTCTCTGACTCCGAGGTAAGGTAACTAATGCTCTTGATTATCAGTGTGATAAATAACAAAAATTATATAGGATACGCTTTATTTGTTCAGCGAGAAGTGTTGGAGGATATAGAAAAGCAAGAACGTCAAAAGAAGAAGGAATCAGCAACTACAAAGAAAGAAGTTGATTTCGTCCCGCATACACCACCGAAAGTGAAAAGCAAGAATATTGCTGGACCGCCGGTTTATTATCCTCCTGGCTCGGCAGAATTCACCAAGAAGGAAGAATCTAGTGCAGCCATGTCACAATCTAGCGTGAGTTGTTAAAATTATTCAATGTATTACATAAAATAATCTAATATTCTCGATGTACATGATATACACACACACACACTCTCTCTCTCTTTCTTTCTCTCTGTGGATCATTTTGTATATACATTTTTAAAGACGACACATCCAATTGAATATTAAATTATGATAAATTAATCCTGAATTTAATTGTTTTCCAGGGTGGATGGCAAAAAGCAAGTGGAAAATATGAATACGAAGCTTCTAGCAAAAGCAAAAGCAAAAGCAGCAAAGGAGGCGCTGTCGTGCCAGTTTGTCTACCATTATGCTGCGCATTACCCTGTGTCATTATGTAACTATTTGTTGCATTAACATGTTGATACGTTAACCGTCAAATTCAAATTGGCTGTAACGTTAATAGGCCACGTGTACCACTGATTGTCAGAATGTTTTTTATAGAGCTATTATGCACTAATAATGAGTCTTATTGTGAGTCTAGAATTATTGCATACAATCTGATTTATATTATAATAATATACTGACAGTGTTACTTTGTATTGTAAGTATTGACAAACATAAAAGGTAAACTTGTATGAAAAACAAAATCGTATGAAATACTAAACCGACCACCAGCGGTGAAGGACCATTAATAAAAATGCCAGTGGTACACGTGGTAACAAATTATTATTAATTATTAAGCATATAACGTGGTATATACATTTATGTAATTGAAGAGTTAATTGTATACTTAAAAATTCTCTTGTTAACACGAGATCTGACTGTTTACTTTACATATTTTGAAACCTTATATTTCTTTCTTAATTTTTACTTCGATGACCAGAACATGCATCTATTAACATAAAGGACATACTTAAGAAAAACGTATGTGTGTGTGTGTATATGTATATATGTATACACACACACATATATATGCATGTTAATGTTTAATAGATGAGTTATTTATATAAAAATAAACAAGTAATCAAAACAAATCATGATATTATGTTATAAAAGTGAATCTCGTCCAATATATTATCAACTTTATTTTAACGTATTTACATATACGATAAAAATATTTTAACACTAAATTATATTTATTTTATGTTTGCTATAAGAAGATATAATAACAACGACAAATTAATTTAGATTTTTTTAATGTGCTACAATGTGGTATTTGTTATAACAAAATAATAATATTTATAACAAATGTTACATAATACCTATTGTAAATTCTTTAAGTCTATTATGTTACTATATATCCTAGGATAAATCAACAAAATAAGTCATAAAATTAATTAATAATATGGCTATAGAAAATATTAATAAACTGATTAAAATTTATATTAACAAACTGTATATTTTTACATCTTCATTTACATTGCTTGCTACACAATATGCTATGAATTATAGATTATATAACATTAGTAACTGGCTACTTACATTGTAAGGATAATATTCACATTTCCAAAAAAAAGTAGATTGTTACAATTTACAAATAAATATTATTATTGTCATTCTACGGGACACACCAAACTTTAAATTATCTCACAAATGGAATGCTATTTACAAGAATATTTGTTAGAAATATACAAGACAAATCATGACATTAGATCCTTGTAACACAAAAGTAGGATATACTTTTAATTATATTATATTGCCGTGAATTATGGTGCTATAATAATTTTAGTATATAAATAAGTATAAGTGGAAAATATATCACTGGTAACATGCATATTACATATAGAATATAAGTACTATCTGTAATTATATGTAAAAATATTGTGCCATGTCATGACATTTAACATTGTGTGTGTGTACTGATATATGATAACATAATAAGTTGTACTTAATACTAATAAATTTACTGATATTTCCAAATACTATTTTTTATTTATTTTATACATTAAGTCTACATCTATTTTTCTTTTTAGAAAAATATATCTTTTTCAATAAAAGTAAATTGCATATACTGTAGCCACACAAAATATAGTATCCTGAAAAATATTGTGTAATTAAGCCAGAAATATAAATAAATACAAATATTATAAGCAATATTCATTTACATATAAGAAAAAGAAAATGAGAAAATTGAGATAAAATTTTTCTCATTCTTACGTTGATAAAACTGTCATAAGCATATGTGTCAGCTTCTGCATCCCAAATACATCTTGTACCTACTTTAACACCAGCACCATGCTGTTGTCCCAAAACCACATTGACAATATATTTATATCTTTTAAATTGTAAATCTATGGAAATGTTCAAGAAAAATATGATAACATTTAATATATGAAACATTTAATATATGAAATTCTAAGTATAATATTATATATAACATATTATAGGAAACAACTGCTATGGGTATATACATAAGAAATCTATTGTATTACTTTTAATTTTGCCTTCAATAATATCCGCTATATCTTTAGTCCATTGAGCTGCTGCTTGTGCATCATATGATTTTGTGGCGAGTTGATCAAATAACACATCATGTATTATTTCTTTTGCACTTAGAGGTTTAAACCTATTAATATTGTGTTAATTTTAATTTCGTTTAGTTATATTTTAAACAAATATTATATATTTTTTAGTTATACATTGATCTCATGTTAATTTCAAGATAGACAACCTGATAATTGTTCAAATTATAAATACTGTAGTAAGATATAAAATAGAATATAAAATTTGTCAATATTAAATAAAGTGACTTACTTTTCATACATATGTGGTCGAACTTGATAAACAGGTTGCTGAGGTGTCTCGTTCTCAGCATCCTCAAAAACTTCCACATTGATATCCTTCTTCTCCATCCCTTGCGTTATTCTTGTTTCTTGTGTCGACTCATGTTCTGCTGAATGTGACGTCTGCACCGTTTGTGCCATGTATCTCTCTCTCTCTCTCTCTCTCTCTCTCTCTCTCTCTCTCTCTCTCTCTCTCTCTCTCTCTCTCTCTCTCTCTCTCTCTCTCTCTCTTTCTCTCTCTCTCTCTCTCTCTCTCTCTCTCTCTTTCTCTCTCTCTCTTTTTCTTAGTGATCTTACATCAATGTATAGTTTTACCAAATCACTGTATTCATATATATACTACTGTATATATACTACTGCATCAAAGTTATTGTCAAGAGAGGTAACCATTGGTAACCATGTTTATGTTTGTGTTATGTTCAATTTCAAGTTAGCTTCATATGATATACAGGCTACGTTCCGAAATTCACTGAGTCTGTTCTTTTTAGCTGCACTGCTGAACTGGTGTAATAAGTTAGAGTGAGAAAAAATATAGTTACCTCACTTTAACTTATTGCACTTCAGTTCAGTTTAACTTATTGCAGTTCAGCAGTGCAGCTAAAAAGAACAGACCAACTGTCAGTATTGAAAATATATAGTTTATGTCACATATACTATAAAATTTCAGTGCTGGCAGTGAATATTGGAAAGCAGTCACAATGCTCGTTTCTTGTTAGCATGTTCATTGGTTCGCAGCCTGGTGTTCTGAAGTACTGAATGCTGGTTGGTTAATTGCCCGGAACGCTAACGTCAGATGTCTGAAAACTAGCATACAGCCAATCAGGAAAATATATGCCATAGGAAATTAGTTCTAGGACTGTGTTTCGATATTCATTGCCAGTACTGAAAATACATAGTTTGTGTCACGAATAGTATAGATTTTCAGTGCTGGCAATGAATATCGGAATGCAGCCTATGTAATACATCCGTATAAGAGCAAGAGCATAGGCTTTTGCATAATACATAATACATAACGCATAAGAGAATAAACCAATAAAGCCAGCGGCACACGGTGCTTGTTTTCGTCCTGGATTGCTTGCTGGATGAAAATACTGCGTTCTGATTGGTGCATTTCCATCCATCTTCGGAAATGTACCAATCAGAACGCAGTATTTTCATCCAGCAAGCAATCCAGCACGAAAACAAGCACCGTGTGCCGCTGGCTTTAGTTTTCTTTATTTCCCTCCTCAGGACAGAAATGAAGAACTCTGATTGGTTGATTCTCTTATGTGTTATATTATGTGTTATGCAGAAGTCTGTGCTCTGGCCTTATGACAAACATATCACATGAATATGTCAACATGGTTAAATATTCATTTTTGTATAAATCAATTATTTTGACAACTAATACTACTAACAACTAATACACACACACACACACACACACACACATAAGCTACAAAATTATTTGCTACAGGACATTAACCTAGGTTCGAAATAAGATTGATCCGTGCAAACCGCATCGAGCTGAGATCACGCGTTTCTAAGATATAAGCCACGAAAGATGGCAAAATGACAGGCATGAAAATGAAATATTAAATATGGAAAAATGCATAATAAGGTTTTAATCTAGACCCAAAATAAGAAAGATCTTCGCAAATTATAACAATGTGCGCCTATTCGTTAACGAGAAATTAAAGCCGAAAGTCCAAGGCCGACCGGAGCGAAAATAACGTGTCACCGGGTATAAGCTACAAAATTATTTGCTATAAAACATTAATCTATGTTCGAAATAAGATTGATCCGTGCAAAACGCATCGAGCTGAGATCACGCGTTTCTAAGATATACGCCACGAAAGATGGAAAAATGACAGGCATGAAAATGAAATATTAAATATGGAAAAATGCATAATAAGGTTTTAATCTAGACCCAAAATAAGAAAGATCTTCGCAAATTATAACAATGTGCGCCTATTCGTTAACGAGAAATTAAAGCCGAAAGTCCAAGGCCGACCGGAGCGAAAATAACGTGTCACCGGGTATAAGCTACAAAATTATTTGCTATAAAACATTAATCTATGTTCGAAATAAGATTGATCCGTGCAAAACGCATCGAGCTGAGATCACGCGTTTCTAAGATATACGCCACGAAAGATGGAAAAATGACAGGCATGAAAATGAAATATTAATTAACGAAATGTGGATGATAAGGTTTTAATCCAGACCCAAAATAAGAAAGATTCTCACAAATTACAACAAGGTGCGCCTATTCGTTTGCGAGCAATTAAAGCGGAAAGTTTTGAGCACGAACGATGCGAAAATAACGTGTCACCTGATATAAGCTGCAAAATTATTTGCTATAAGACATTAATCTAAGTTCGGAATAAGATTGATCGAGGCAAACCGGATCGAACTGTGATCACACGTTGCGGAGATATAAGTCACGAAAATTGGGAAAGTGGCAGGATCCGAAATGATCTGTCCCGAAATATTAATTATCAAAATATGGATGATAAGGTTTTAGTTTAGATAATTATATAGAATATCCTCCTCAGCTTCAATATGGACGAAAAAATGATTCATGGTACATTCTCCCTTACGTAGGGGCCTTGCTATCCATTTTTAGTCCATATTTTAGACTCGTCTTTTTGGTAAGGGGAAAATTTATTTTTTATTATTTGTCCGTGACAGATTTCCTAAATTGCTGTCAACTTTAACAATTAATATCTCGCTGCATAAGGCAGAGCGACGACTTTTTCAAATAGAAATGTTGTTTGTCTTGTAAAAACGCGTCGATTTTTTCGTCGATGTCGGAAGCGAGGAAGGTATTATGTATAATTACCCCGAATTGTTAACGTTATGTATTACATAAAATAAACTTACCCTTCGATGATTCCTGATGTCCCTCCTTGTAAAATATATCCTCGGGCACTTAATATTTTTCACAACACAAACACTAAATTTAACTTTGCACTATAACAGGCCATTTTTTTCACAACACTTGATCACAACACAAGTCGGAAGCAACAATCGCGCGTAATTTCACTCGGCATTCCCGACGATTCTGTTTTGTTAATCACTGACTTTCGATTACTTGACGATACTTCGCGACGATAAATGCACGAAATTTGCTTTCGGTACTTTCGATGAAACAATTCACGCCAATATTCGTCTTTGGTAATTCAAGATCGCAGAAAATAAGTACGGTCGGCTTTTGGAGTTCACGTACTAAGCGTTGTAATGCAACGGTTGCGATTTTCAATGTGTGCGTGTATAGGTGAATACGTATCACTTGCATACTAGCCAATCAGAATATTCCGTTCGAAACTGTCCGTTCCGTTTGAAATATTCCAAGTCGGCCATGACAGAAAAAATTCCCGAAACTTTACTCGACCCTCCCGACGAACAATGCACATTTTCGGCGAATATTAGATGAAAGCTGTGCCATACCTCGATGTTTAACCATAATTCGCGGCCGAGACTCGGCTGACAAGTCGAAAACGAAGCTTCGCGACGCGTAAACCGAACTGCCTTTACGCACTGAACTTTCCTTGGCGTTCCTATGATTCACTTTACTTCACTTCGCGCGGCGGAACGAACATCATTCCGCCATAACACACGCGCGAAACTTACTTTCGGCACTCCCGGTAACGATTTAAAGCGATTTAAGGCACACGAGACTCAGCTACGGCGAGTCAAAGTCGCGAGAGATTACGGGCAATGGTTTTTCACGCACAACACAACCCGTAACCTGCGCCATAACTAAATACGAAGGAACTACGTACAGCGCCACAAGCGGGATGCTCGGGAAGCTGAGTCGACCAATCACGGTGATTCATTTCTTTCTGTAATGAACTATCTGCACAAAGTGTACGAGGTGCGGATGAAAGCAATCAATGATAGATCGATGTAATTTGGAGCTATACGCTGGGTAATAAGGCAGTGATGATACAATCTGATGCAATAATCGGACCGCTTTATTTTACCATATTAAACCTGACTGTACTGTAAATAAAATTACGTGCAGAGAGAAACCTGAGAGAAACTCGCTTTGCTACCAGCCGCGGGGCCGCGCCGCCATCGCTCGTTTCTATCGCCTCGCGTCTTGGCCCGTGTTCTTTCGTTAGATTTCTATAATTAATAACTCGATAGTTATTGCGAATATCGCAAGATAGTATGGGAATTTTATATTTATCTTAATCTGTTCGATGTCTCTATGAATTCCTCGGAGCAAGGAATTCGTGAAACACCCTGTACATGTGTTTTCGATCGCAATTTTAGTATTATTTCAATTTCGAATTATTAACTTAAGGAATGCCAATGTGTGTGTATATATTTAAAATAAAAATTATTCTAAATTTTCTCACGTCTCGCAATCCGAGGAGACATACACATTCGGCCTGTTTTCTGTATTAATAGTCTTTTGATATCTTCTGGTACCTTTTTCCCATTATTCCATATCTGTTGCCATTCATGCTTATTTCGAGCTATGTTTCATATTCCGGTAACGATATTCCTAAGAGGGCGCTAGTGTATAGTGAGATTTCTCTGGTACGCTAAATCCCGTAAGACTAACAGTCTTTATAGTATCTCGTCGGTGGCTTGGACCTTCTATAAAATAATATAAATAATAATGTATACTTAACCTTAATGGAAAAAGTACGTTCCACAAGGCAGAACGACGATTTTTTCAAATAGGACTTTTTCAAAAATTATTTGTCTTGCAAAAACGCGTCGATTAAATATTTTTTTGTCGATATTGGAAGTGAGGGGGATATTCTGTATAATATTACCGGATTTTCATCTAGTAAATAATCTCTGTGGTAGCTTTTGCAATAATTTTCTCCTATTTAGGGAGATTTCTAGAATCGACACAACCATATTGAGTACGATAATATCCTCCAAAAATTGATATCTTTGTAGATTAGAAATAGTTAAAAAAAGAAAATAAGAAATAGCGCACTATGGCAAGCGCTTTTCCTACTATTACAGTAGAAACTGCGAAAGGTGCTAACAATTTTCTAAAAATAATGTACATTCTTCTGTATTAATAGTATGCTGTATCGTTATTTATTTCAAATTAATAGTAATGAAAATTTCTGGTTTTATTCCTAGCTATACTGGTAGATATTCTGACAGCGTTGAATACACCAAAAAATTTGGAAAAGCTTGCAGAAGCAAATGAAAAATCTGGTAATGAGATGTTAAAGAAAATGCAGTTTGTATTTCCATTAGTGATGGAGATACAAATTGAAGTTATCAAAAATTACGGATTTCCAGAAGGTAGAGAAGGTATGTAATTGAAAATATACCTGCAAAAAAGAAGCTGTAAAAATTAATTGTATATATGTTTAAACAGGAGTTGTACGATTTGCAGAGATTATTAGAACTTTTGAGAGGGAAGATCCTGAAGTAGTGCAATTACGTAACCAGGTTCGTTCATATTTTCTACCACCAATTTTGATAAATTCTACAAATGAGGCGCTTCCTTAAAGTATAAAATTATATGTATAAATTATATTATACTTCATATATATGTATGTGTATGTATATATGTATGTATGTGTGTATGTATATACATACATAAGTACACATAATTATTTTAAGACCTTATTAAGCATATAGGTAAGAACTTGTTAATTTAAAAAAATTAATATATATGTATTATGAGAAAATAAATGGTATTTTATATATTATATTTATATCTTTTAATATTTTAACAAATTAGATACCATTATAACTGATCATTATGTTACATTACTTATAAAAGATACAATATATTTCTAATAAGGATATTCATAAAAATATAAATGTACTACATTTTTCTTTTTATTAAAGGATCAATGAAAGTTTCGCAATGTTTCTTCAATTTCTTACAGACAGAACAATTTTAATTTTCTTAAATATATGTATAACTTTCCTGAGAAGAAAACCAAAGGAATTTTAAATTAAATATTTAATGAGAAAACTTAAAAATTTTTTACATTTATTTATATAATAATAATAATAATAATAATAATAATAATAAGTATATCATATATAATCTACTAAAATATATAATATTTATTTTCATAAATGTTCTTTGAATTTTCTTGCAATTACATTGGCTCTAAAAGCTAAACAAAAATACTCCACTGTTCGCATAGAGATGAAGTTTTTTATATATATATCATGATCCATAGATTTGTTACATGAAAAATCAAATTAGTAAAAATATGGATATATAAAATTGAGAGAGATATAGGATGCCTGTAAAATATATCAGCCTACATTTAACAGGCGTAATAATTAATATAGCAATTCATATTCTCAATAAAAATTATTAGATACAATAATTGTACAATTAAATTCTTATGCAGAGTGATCATCCTAGCAAACACAATATTACATGTAACGTGCATGTTAATTGTAATTTCCTATTCAACAATATAACTGTTATATAACATGTGTTATATAATGTAATAATAAATATAACATATGTTATATAACAGTTATATTGTTGAGTAGGAAATTATAATTAACATGCACGTTACATGTAATATTGTGTTTGCTGGGTTACTACGATCGATGCTACGATCGTACTATACATTTTGACTTCATATCTTAGCGAACATCTGGATAAATACATATTAAATATACAGTTTTACTCATATAAGCAAGTATGTGTTAAAACTGCATAAAGCCAACAAAATTATTGATTTTACGATAAATAATACATTGGAATTATATTTGCTCGACGTTTACTTAAGACAGCTTAAATCATGCAACTTCTGATTTACTTGGATAGATAGGCAAATACAGTTCCCCTTTGTCAATGCTGTATAGTGAAAAAGTTTTCTTTGTATAAAACTGCAAAATATATACGTTGATATTTTGAAGAAAAAGATGCTGAGATCACGTGAGAATACGATGATTCTCTTTCGAACGTTTCAATTGCGTTCTATCTATACAGTAAATCGTCACAGAATAAATATCACCCTGCAATCTGAAGCACCCGGCATGCGGACGATAATGGATATAAAGAGTGTATTTATTAAGGGAGCAGCGCGCTCAGCAAATTTTTCTACAAACGCAAATCACGACAGTGATGTGATGTTGAGTACAGCTTTCGAATATTATTAAAAAATTTCCTATGTATTCATTATTAAGAACACTACAAACATTTGACAAGTGGGGAACGATATGCTATATTATATTTACATCCCTTATTACAAATCAAGATACACAATTGCAGCATTTTCCTCATATGTAAAATAATCTTCTAATTCGTAATCTCGCGTCGTGCAAATTTGGAGCATATGATAATACATGAAAATAGGCAAGAATGTCGTATAGCCTTGCTATAATCCGTGTAAGCAGTTTGCGTTGCAAGTAATTTTGAAAGTTGACACAAATGTTGAGAATCGAAAATAATCGTTTATTATCCACTGTTATTTTAATCTAAATGTCGATGATTTTCTCGTGTACAAGAAACGGTTCTACCGTTTTAGAGTTTGATTTTTCAGTTACGCCAAAAATTTGCCAAAAACATGCTCGCAGTTGACTAAAACCGAGATTCACAGATTATTAAAAATAACATGGATTATCTTTCCCTAGTTCGTGACGTTGTCAGTGTGAATGCTACTTTCACAGTTGTATATCTGTTTAAAGATGCCTTGGTGTGTCATAGGTCGCAATATGTCATCTGTGAATGACCGATTATGTACAACTATGTAAGAAATTCGCGCATACTTTTATGCAACACGGCAGCTGCTCGTAACACGATCGCTTATTGTTAAAAAGCAAGCCACGACATGAATTTTACGGACCATAATCGACACGTATTGTAAGCGTATAACGCGAACGAAACCCTGTTCGATACAATAGATTTCTTCGCCTTTTTTTTTTTTTCGCAAATTACGATTACAGTCTCACGGTCTCGTTAGTTTCGCTATAGAAAACGCGTGTACAAATGTGAAACACATAAACTGATTTCGACTCCAGCATTATTTTATCTTCTCCCTCAGCTCAGATACCACTGAGCAAACTTCTCTGAATCAATTTATACATATAAAATAGATACTATATAGAGAAGGGAGTGTGTATAAAATCTAGTCGTACCTTGGGATCGCGTAAGCCTTCAAAGTTAAAACATGATTTGTGTGTGTGTGTGTGTATATATGTGGTATATGTGTACCTTTTAACCACCCGTCATTTAATTACATGTATGTCACACTTCTACTAGTTAGTTGTTCAAGTGATTAATCTGGAATAAATTTTACGAAGCGAGTAGTACATGCGAAAGAAGAAGAAACTTATACAACGGCTATAAATGTGTCGCAATATAATTCGTCGAAAAATAATGCTTCAATATCAACTATCAGCAAAATATCCGTTGATAAGATTATTTTATCTTGAATCGATCGATATTTGTTTCTCTCTTTCTCTCTCTACTCCCCCCCTCTCCTCCTCTCTCTATCGCTCGTAATTGCCACAATTAAAATCGCATTTTATCATTAATTAAAATATATACCGTACAGGGTTACATGTAGAACCGCGAATGTCTTGTAAATTACTATTGAAGCTTATTGACCAGGCTACGAGAGGAACGGATTAGCTGTAGAAGTTGTATTCGCTGTCCATGGATCCTGTCGAATCTGATTGATTGTAGGACGGGGTGGTGGCGTCACAGTTGCAAATGGATTTGCTGAATACGACATGATTGCTGTAAATTTATTCATGTTTGTTAATATAAAATAAATTTTGCTGCTCGGCGGGACTGTTCAACCACCAATCTTTCGACATATACAAAGTCGACTTAAGATTTGTATTGATAGTTTAAATGGAAATAAATACCATTCTGAAACTTGAAATGAGAAAGTAAAAGTTTTGTAAAACAGGGTAAAAGATTGTTTTTTATAAAACTTTCCTATTTCTTAATTTATAGGTTTTTGCTGTTTCAAGATAATAATCTAGATTCTTCAGTTTCTATGGATATGCCCAATATAAAATGCAATAGCAAAATTTCATATTGTTTATCTATTTCACACGAACAAATATAAGCTAGAAAAATATGATTGCATAAAGGATATTTACAAAAGAGAGATTATTTATTTGATATTCTTATTATCTATTTAAGAAGAAAGAATATATATTACACACTAGTATATTATATAAGATGTATATTTGAAGAAAGATTCGAATCACATTTTAGCTGTAGAATACAATCTATTGAAATAACATATGAAGTACACTATCATAATATCGCAAGCATAGTAATCATGTTGCGTCAAAATAATTGATGAAATTCATGCACTCATGCTATATTCTTAATTATTTCATTGATACTCACGAACTTATTTCCAATGAAACGCTATTTTACGGACATAGAATAAGTTACGGTATAAAATAGTTCTCTCTTTTCAGCAATATTATCTGAATTATTCTCCACCGGATATGATCTCAATCAGATATTTTGACTTGGAGGAATTGTAATATTAAATAAGGATTACACGAGACGTTCTCAACGTATGAATTCGATATATTCGGAATATTGGACCTCTTTTTCTCGATATTAATCTTTTAATTGGAAATAAAAACTTACCCGCAGGCGTAGGAGCTGTAGGCTTGATCGCCGAAGTGCTGACAAGATTATCCAGATTGACGAGCGCAGAGTTCTCTCCTAAGAAAGACTGAGGTGTTTTCTTCACTGCGCCAGTGTTAGCAGGGAGGTTCTCGGCCATGCCTCCTAGGTCAAAAGGATCTCCGGACGTTGCTGTACCATCTATTTTTAAGTCATACTTATACAACTTGAACGAATATTAACATATCGCTGGAAAAATACGTTCTCGATCCAATGATTCGGACGCACCATTGTTTACTGTTTGTGGACTAGCTTCGAGTTTTCCTCTATTGGTGATTACGTCAAATTCATCTAAATCGCTGAGTGGACTCGTCGCGGCGGTATTGCTGTTGTTCGGAGAGGAAAAATTGAAGCCCGATCCCGTCCCGTTGAATCCATTGCTAGTAGTATTGAAACTAGTGGCGGCCGAAGATACTGGCAAGTTAAAACCTATATTCTGAGGTGACTGCGCAGCGAAACCGATGTTTTGCGTCAACGTTGAATTATTGAAGGCTGGTGATGGAGATGTTATGCCATCTTGGACCACCTGCAAATAAGATAGCTTCAGATTCATGTATCCCTTTTATGAACTTTATCCTAGAATTCACGGAACATTGAAGAATAAATCATACGTCACCTGCAGCTTGTTTGCCTCCGATTCAGCGGTGTTCGGAACCGGTGACCAAGGGTCTGTTGTACGAGGAGACACCACTGTAGCAGGAGATGGAGCAGGTGCACGCCATGGATCGATAGTGGCTGCTGTAATTGATCAATAATTTGGGCCTGGTCAATTAAACGCCATAAATTGCTATTTATCATAGGTATCATGTGTAAACTGAACTTTTAAGGGCGGGAAGTTTTTAGCGAGGAAGTTGAAATATCATTTCAAAGATAAATAATCATTGCAACGTTATCTCTGGTCTCTTAAATTGTAACATCGGTAGTGACAGTTATCATCAATTTTTAATGAGTTGTGAAATACGGAAAAAATAATTAATTTCAGTTTATACCTGAAGATCCTAAAGGACACAATCCAAAATCATTTCAAGCGACAGACATGCAAAAGAAATATAAAAGTGGAAACTAAGTAAAAGTATAAACATGTAAAGAATATGTTAGTTATAATAACAACTCATGCAATAATAATAACTCACTTGGTCGTTGTGGAGGAACAGGCGTCCACGGGTCTATTACGGGTGATGCACTACTCGTTGTTGGAACACTCCATGGATCGTTCTGCGGCTATGGAACGAGAATCATATTATTTCTCAATTACCTTGTTAATCATTCCATCAGGATGTTATTTCAAATCTATATGTACTTTTAGATGAGCTGAAATGCTCATCCAACGTACCTTACACTTATGATATTCAGATAAATCCAAAGACTGCGGTAAATCATGCAAGAACAGCACAACCTCATATTATCATGCAATGTGCGAATACTTAATTTATTGACAGTAATAAGTCGACGAAGCTGTAAGTACCTGCGGTCTGGGTGGCGGTGCCGTTATTATCGGAATACCCCAGGGATCGGTCTGTACAGAAGAGCCACTCGCTTCTCCCAGAGTTACGTCCAGTAAATCGAGCACGTGACTTTGCTTCTCGAGTTGCGGAGTTCTGGAAATTCAGATACGTTACATCGGCTCGTAAATGCATGATTGGATATTCAATCGGCCGATCGCTAATTAAGTTACCGGATCGTATTGGATTCCGCTGATTGCTTACTTGAAATCTTGTTGACTTTGACTAAGGGCTAACTGCAATCTAACATCATCGCTGCGTCTTCTTTGTTCCTCTTGTTCCGCTTCTTCCCTCGACATAGCCAAAGCCAGCTGCAATTGTAATTCCTCCTCACCCACTGTTTGCGGTCTTGCGGCTTCCAGTTCCGCTGGAAACACATTTTTCGTTCTTTGTGTTAATTCTTAGGCAAAGCGGAATATCTTAATGCTTCGAGGAAAATAAAAGATATACGATAACAAAATCTGGGTCAACTTACTCGCACGCCTGGACGTTGGTTCGGATAAGTGACAAGGTTCCCAATCCTGAAACTGCGACAAAATAATAATTTATATTGCTTGTAATTTATATACAATTACGAACACTAACATCGATCATATAATATGGATCACTTACGTCATTGCTAACAGGTGACATGGTGTCCAAACCGTCACTTCCAAAAGCACTAACCGATTGTGCAAACCTCTCTTTCGCTTTCAAAGCTCTAGCACGCTCATTTCTCAATCTTTCGTCATCTTTTAATAAGGCCACTAATTGTTTTGCTTTTTCTCGCACATTGATTCCTTGATCCTTATGCCCGTCCATGTATTGAAAGTCTAAAGAATAATTGGATTGAGCGATTTATAGATTAATTATAAATATAATTATAAATATATTGTAATGTATTCAATTGTTGTATTAATAGTAATAAAGTATGCCATTAATTTGAGGCTTTTACTGCTTTAACAGTAAAATGCAAATAGAAATTTGGCCCCTGATTCGAAATATTACGTATAATATAAGCTTACATGTAATACATCCTACTTACCTTTCAAGGTTTGAATGGCGAAAATATTTTCTTTGCATTGTTGCGCTACTTTTTCAGATCCTGTCTTAATAAGATATTCTAAAAGAACTAGGGCTTTATACACGTGTCGCCAATTTTTTCCATGATCGTTTAATCTCTTCCATAGCATTTGCATAATTTCCGTGAATGCTACTACGTTGTACGTTAAATCGGCAATCTCCGCCATAAGTGTACTACTTGGACCCCAAGGATCATTGCTGGTTGCTTTTCGTACAGCTTTCTATATGTAGGAAGGAGTAATGATTATTAGTTATTTAAATATTTATTAACATTTCACTGATTTGAATAACATTTAATTTAGATCTCTTCTAGTTTATAAATTATATCGTTAAACGAACAAGAAATTAACATGTTAAGATGATAATCATCATTTGCACATGAGGATGCAAGTATAACTTGTAATAATGCGAGGTAACGGGAAGAAGCTTTACTAATTACCTGAGCGTTGCTGTAATTGTGGGCAAGATTCATTATATCTCGCCTTATACCTGCTAAATTCACCTGCATAACGTCTTGGCCCTGTCTTCTCATCTAAAATATCATCACTATATGTTACTCTATTGTAATATTATGTACCTTAATTTTATAAACCCATATTTATTATCGCATTCATCGTCAATTGTAAATACAAAAATAGTAAAATCATTTTGAGTATTAGCTGCAGATACAATTACATTTGTGACTGAATATCGATAATTTAACATAGAAATCTTCCAAGACTTTCCTCTGAATTTTTTAAAAATCTGTAAATTGTTTGAAAACCTCTTGACAGACTTATAGGCCGAGGACTTATATAACTGACTATTAATCTCTCTATATAACATAAAAGACTTACGTACTTACTTACATTATAACAATGAGTCAATCATGACATAAATAATGTCAGATAATAAATATGGGTATGTTGCTTATATTAAAGCCATGCAACTAAGTATGCGCTATTTAAACACTACAAAATTATTAAGTAATATTAGTATCTAATTTCAGTATATAGGATATCTGTGTGTATGTGTGTGTGTGTAAATTAAGAGCAGGAGGTTGAGTGTTAAAGCCGAAACATGCGTATTAATTAAATTACTCATGATAAATAAATAGAAATTAAAAAGAAATAATACATAATTTGTAACAAGATTATGTATGACATGTTACAAAGAATGTTTATCAATAAACCATGACTGTGTATGCATTGATACACTACGTTTATATAATCATTACTTTTCATAAGGATGTACTCATTATATTATATTATATGTGTTAAAAATTTAAATACTTTTCAATTGTGCATGAGTAAATAATTGTTATATACGTTAGCAACTTTTTCTTCTACGAAACCATTAAAAAAAATTCTCCATACCACCACAGCGAGCAAAGAAAACAAGATATATACAAAGCACATTTCCATAATTATATACCACAACTTTGTTTTAGGTAATTTATTTTAGAATACAATCCATCGGGTAACATTTTTAATAACATATGTATGTAAAAATATGTTTAGATGTACTTCATGTAAATGCAAAAAATTGCTGAATTTTAAAATCAGAAGAAGAGAGAATATTTTACGGGGACAGCTGCCCTCTTGAGATGTGCCTATATAAATTCATAATCAATATTGTTGTTATCATGTTGTACTTGAGACACATATTATTCGCAGGACTATATACAGAGCATAGTAGAAAAATCTAAAGAAAATGGCGCCTATAAATAGTGCATTTAATAACATATAATGATATTTGTGTGATGCAATACTGACTTGCATAATGCATATTTGTCATTATCAATTTCATCTGTTCGCTTCTTATTATTATATTATTTTGCTGACGTATGTTACAAACTAAAAAAGGTGCATTGTATAATGAAAAGTAGGAAATTAAAATAACTTGAATATAGGTGATACATAGAAAATAATGTAACAATAAATTCTGGTAAAAATTATTTTTACAGAGACTGATAGGTATCATTTACTGAAACACAGAGATTCTTCTAGGAGTATGTTTCCACATTGAATATTATGTTATCAAGTAAGCATATATTGTTAATTCAACAAATGTGAATGTGTGTCAATGAAATTTACCTTTTGCATCGCCATTCCTGACTAATGAATTATCGCTGGCGTTGTTGACGAAGCTAGGTCTTGCCCAGAAATATAGAATACTCCAAATCACAACAAAAGCCTAGACTATCAGATGATACAATAGGTAAGTATGAAAAATTTTATATACATCTCATCACACTCTAATGCGTGATACATCGCTTTATATATGGATGATAATGACGCTTTAATTCATTAGACTAGTATTATGCAAATAAATATTACATGAAGCTTTATAGTCGCCTAATTCTTGAACAGATTCTGTACAACTGTGGTTATATAGGAGAGAAGAAGACATGAAAAAAGGCACATATATTTGATATATTCTCGAATTGCTCTAATATGGTTATTTGATAGACAATAAATTACACCTGTAGCAATTGCAGTATCTATTGAAAAAATATAAACCAAAAAGAAATAAAAAGTACTGTGTCTTTCATAAAAATATTCTGTCTTTCATAGGCACAGCTCATAATAATTTTATTAAATATATTTTCGTATATTACATATAGTAGTATATGTTAATATGTCACAAAGAAAATAGTTTTTAAGTGTAAAAATATACTAACGTTTCGTGTAATCTTTAATAACCTACACATTTTATTTCATTGAAAATATAAGAAATAATTTCAAATGAGCATAGCCATACATTAATTTACAATGTGTCTATTGATTGTAATGTCCTTTATATAATGTTACCATTTATAGACATGTGCAATTTGTGAAAAGAGATAATGACACGCACAATGCTATTAAACAGCCCTTAACTAGGCGTTTCCAAAGGATAATGCATTTATAAAGAACTTTTATATAACTATTATTCTTTTTTACTTCTGAAAGTTGTTCATTGTAATTACTAGAAATCAAATTGTTGTTCACAATCATGCTAGGTAATAAATGATTAATAATGCGAAAAAAAAACACATAATGTTGTGTATGATTCAGAAGCATGAAAAACAAATTAAATTTACATTCTATGTTTTTCTACCTTTTAAAATTCTTCAAAAACAATATACTAAAATGTCGATAAAGTAAAGATTAATGCCACATAAAAAAAAAGAAATAAACTTTAGATTAATACCTTTAAAAATTTCAGACCTACAGAGAAAATAATTTATAAATAATCAAGCTACCCTATTTACAAATGAGAGAATGCATGCAGGAGACTTAGGGAGCTAAGTCACTTACATTGGTAGGAATGATGATGTACCTTCCTCTAATAAATTGATCTGAAAAAAAAAAAGAGAGAACTTCGTTATCTGTAACACAATTCCATTATTGTATTTGCTGCTTATCTTATCATACAAGTTAGCATATAAGTATGATTATTCTTTGGAGCATCCTTATCAACGTATATAATGACAATTCATATATGAAAAAGAAAACTGATAAAGATTGATTTTTATAATATCTAGATGTTGATTAACACTATTACCTTGAGAATCCACTGTAAACATTAACACACACACATATTGCTATGCTTCTGATAACAATGTAACATTTATAACAACAATAATTTCATTATGTATTCTCAACATGCAATTTAATTATATTACTTGGATATATTTCACAAGTCTACAGTCATGATATATGTAATGTATGTGCTTATTTTTATAACAATTAGGTACAATTTCCTCGTTGGAAATTTCCTGCATTATTGTTGAACACAACTATGCAAAATATTTCTACTCATTACCATTTACATAAAGTAAATGCTAAGAATTATTGAGCACACGAAAGATGTTATAGATTGCATTAAGCCACAGTAGTCTGAGATTTTCTACATAAGGTTTCTTTCCGTCACGTTAATAGCATTACACATATAATCGACCATGAAAGTATTGATTGTCATTGTCGTGTCTGATTTGTTGTGTAATTCAACCAATTTAATAATGGAAATATTATGGCAAATATTAAATACAGAATGATGAGTAATTCATGTGTTAATGTTACAATTACAGTGGAATAGGAAAAAACGAGCCATTTTTCGAGTATCAGTGCGTGACTAATGCTCCATTAATATTGTAAATAATCATACAACAATGATATTTCAAAATTGGTCAATATCATCACGACGCACAGTTCAAACATGAAACTTAACTCGCGTGTAAGTTACATCGCGGAAAATTATCGCGAGCGATGCAACGTGCCATGAGAGTGTGGCGCGCAAAGTACAGGCGTCGACAGAACGGGTAGGAAACACAAGCAGGAAATTATTACTGTTGTACAATTACTATCAAATGCAGAGGTCGATTCCGTGTGTCGTTAAGTGTACTCTCCTGTGATCATCGCGCACGAAAAATTACCACGGTAAAAACTCTCGCACTTGTTACGTACTGATCGTGACGAAGCTCTGGCCGTGTGCGCGCACGCATTCACTTCACCCGACGAACGTCAGCGGGCAACAAAAAACGGATGGATGCATTCCCGTTTAAAGAGCAACCTCGTTGTTGCGCCACGGCGCGCACCATATACTCTAAACGTGACTATACCAACAAAGTCGTACGTGTCACGCGTGCACACGCATCACATACGCGCACTTACTAGCGCACATACACACACTATCTCTTTCTCTTTTTCTCTCTCTCTCTCTCTCTCGCCCTCTCTGATAGGGATCTTCACGAACAGGTATATATGTGACACGTCAATTTTTTTCGTAGAATATTATTACATATCCTCCTTCTCGTAAAATTGAATTTGAAAAAATCGCAAGGCGGAAAACGATGTCAACGGGTGCGGCCGCGTTGTAATGTAACGTCATGACGACAACAATGATGATGATGATGATGATGATGATGATGATGATGATAATGACGATGATAATGATGATGGTGACGACGACGACGACGACCACTGTCGTCGTCGGCTGCAATGATGATAGTGGCGCAAATGCGGAACACGTTTTCATAGAGCTCCCACAGCTGAGCAGTAGAATTTCTCTTCACGTCTGAACTGAACGAATGACGTCCGTGACTGATGGACCATGGTTTATGGATGAACGATACAATTACCACGTTAAAGTTTCTCGCACACTACAGTCCCGCAGCGTCCGCGACTGTGCGTCCACGCATACGGACAAGCGACGATGAGGAACGACAATGATGACGATCGCGACTACGATGACGACTATGACTACGACGACGACGATGGCACGAAAAGTACGACCACGATGCAACGATGACAACATGATGTCCTAATACTCACCTTGCGTACGTGTGCCACTCGGAAAATTTCAAAACGCGGAACTTTCAAAACGATCGGAGACAGAGCGGGGCGGCGAAATAATATAAGACACTTATGACAAGTCCATTCACAGGCACTGACGAATTAGTAATTACGAGGCAAGATGGCGCTCGAAAATATTTCCTTTCTCACTCTCGTGGCGCTCTTGTTACTCCCGTGCCATTCGCGCACGAGCGCGATTGTATGGCGCGCGTGATTGTGAGTGACATTTTGTCACTTTCTAATCGCTTTTGAATAAACTTACGAGATATCGGATATAGAAAGAATTCTACCGTTATAATTACAATTATTCATCTTTCGACAGAAATTTCTTCTTTTTCATTCGACAACTGATCACTTGTGGGTCTTTATTTAGCAGTTTTTCAAAACACGCATGTACATTGAGAAGTCACAGTAAGTTTTTTTCTATCGATAATTTGCATTCATAAGTATCTGTATATTGTGTAAAAAAATTTCAATTGCAGACAGTATTGTGTTCTAAATTACACTTTTTTTAGACTTTCCGCAATTAGAACATAATAATTATATAATTACACTTCGGGTAGTAAAAGGACTGTATCACTTTATACTTTTCAGTATTTATTATTATTATTTCACAGTCGACTAGATTAACTTCACAAATGTTCCGTTTTACTACGATTTAACTTTAGCATTAGCATAGCTTTTACGCCATTACGGATTAATTGTAATTTTTATACACTCAATTAAATCTTTAATTGTATACAATATGTAAGAATATACAATATATTTGTAGAATAGTATGGTAAAATTTTTAGTCAAGGCACAATAAAACAAAATTGAGCTCAGAATATCGCAACAACAATTCTAAGAACAATCTTTGTGGGGATATCTGTAAGATAAATCTAAATTATATTGAACAATATATATATAAACATATAGCAATTCACAATTGTAGTCAGTTTTAATTAATTGAAAAATGTACAATTACTCAGATACTTTCATAAATTTGCTTTTATATGAATGTGCATATACACATATTATTGTGTATATATCAATATTTTATATCACCTGATCAATAATCAATTTTGATAATATTAGAGAAATTTTAATGATACTAACAAACCATTATTATATGTAATAAAAAGATAATTATATTATTAAAACAAAATATATTGTGATCTACTGTGTATGTAGATTTCCTATGAAATAAAATTCCTTGAGATACAATAGAATATTCTATGTCTATTACTTCTTTATGTATATATATACTTTTTATATTTTCAAAGCATCTAAAAAAAGAGAGAGAGAGAGAGAGAAGAAGAAACTAGAAACTAAAAGTGTGTAATATATATAAATTTGTAGAATGTGAAAGTATAATTATAACTTTGTATAAAAAGTATTAATTTTTTTAATAACGCCTTAATAATAGTCCCGTTCATAAAATACAACAGTTTAATGAAACTTTTGCGTGTGCGTCCCGAAGATACTACGAAGTCCGAATAACTGAAATCAGACAATCGAATCATATCACCGAATATAGTTAGCGCACGGATACATTAAAAATAACGCGAATAAAATTCAATGGAAAAGATTACGAAATAACATCATAACTATTGTACTGTGCATGATATCATAAAGAAACGTACATTCAAACGATTGCTTATGACATCTTTTCCCTATCCATTTCTATATCTTAGTTTTGAAATTAAAAAATTAAATTGATTTTATACCCACGCAATATAAAATATGTATATTAAAGAGACGCATTAATATTTTATAATATCTTTTCTTAATCCAAAAGAATATTTTACAATTTCTTCATAAATAGATGGAACAAAGACTTTGATTTAAAAATTTCGTTATGAACATTTATAATTAATTGTTAATGCGTTGATTTTGTTACACTATTTAAACGTTATATAATATTATACAATGTACAATGTGCTTTACGGTGAGATATTCACAACTCAATCACTTATTAACTAACTGATTACTAATAATTGATTATCGATTACATCATAAGTTCCTCAGTTTGTGTAACATTTAATTTCTCAAATCAGAAAAATGCAGCTATGAATATAGAGGACTTTTTGTAACATTATCGAAATTTTTGCTGAACATTTTTGAAAGAGATAACTTTTTAATAAATTTTTTATTTGTTTAGTTACTATCTACCATCTCTGTCACGATTTTCGTTTATGATAAATAAATGGAAAACGGTGTTTCAGCACAAACTTACTTTGCACTTTGAAATAATAGACAGCCGATAAGACAGCCAATAATTATTATCCATGGTATAAGATGATTTTTTCTAGAGAAACCAATCCTAATGGTATTCCATAGTTGGAGTTACATTGATCATATCGGCGGTACTAAAAAAAGAAGAGGAAAAGGAAACGTATAATTAAAAATCTAAACATATAATACAAGTATAAATATAAATTTATGTAATTCTCTTCGATTCATTGATAAAACGAATTTCAACAATAATATAAAAGCATAAAGTAATTAAAATGCTTTCAGATATAATAATATGTGTAAATTAGGATGACAACAGCATAGTTATATATTTTTCTTCAGAACATGCTACATGCGTTTTATTCTATCCATTCGTATTATTTCAAATTAATCAATTCAATTTGATGAACTTAAATATAAGAAGCAAAACATAGAAAACAAGCATATGACATGATTCTTTGGAAAAACAGTCTGTATATTATCTTACATTTATTAATTTCATATGTATTTCTTGATGATAATATATGATATATGATTGACCATAAAATCCTTTTGTCCCTCCAGTTATATTTTATAGTTACATAATTAACAATTATTCATAGGATAAACGACATATATATACATTAACAAAATTATTTACACCAGTTCAATAAAAAAAAAAAGGTGACATATACAGCATCTTAAACAAATATTTTAATTCTTTTCACATATACACAGCAATTGAAAATACAATATAATAAAAAAAATATATACATGTCCTGGCAAACTATAGAATGCACTAAATATGACTAGTCAAGCTAACCATTAGCAATCCTTCTTTACTTGGTATTTACTTGATCATTAATGTACAAAGATTTAAGTATTGTAAAATAATAATTTATAAAAATAACATTGCCTGATTAGTCATATTTTATATATATATGTATATAAGGCAACATTTGTCAATTGCAGACATAACACAATATCACAAACACTTACAAGAACATATATGGTGCCCTAAGAATAGTTTGTTGTAGTCATCTTTACATTAGTTTGCTGTATGAAATATAGTAAATTAAATTATTCATTAATATTGTGACAAAAATCGAGGAGATATCTCGAATAAGCATCTCTCTTTGTCTCTCTCTCTCTCTCTCTTAATCTAATTTAAGAGATTATTATTGTAAAAATTACACATAAATGTTTAAGATTGCATGATGGTGCATTCCAAGTTATACAAAATTTTGTATGTGAACAAAGACATCAACATATGTTTTGCTTACAAATGACTTCGATTTGATTGACAATATTATGATTATCTATCACATAAAAACTTTTTAAACGTTATTAAGCAGATTATTTTTACATTACATGTATAAGTGGACATATATATATATATATAGATGTGTGTATATATATATATATATATGTACACACATATATTGTATGAATATAATCATTACCTTTTGGAACATTTAATATGTATAATCAGTAATCCTATCCCTAGCAATAAACACAAACTTCCCACAACAATATAAGCAATACCAAGAAAAGGATTCTTCCCTCCTAGCAGTGAAGTTGTGCTCAATATCATTGATTTTGTTCCATGGAAGGCGGATACTGAAAATGCTAACAAAAGAAAGAAAAATATATATATATATATACACATGTAATTATGTATTTATAAAATATATTTATAAGATGTGTTTGTAATATTTGTTATATTATTTTGTCATTACATATTTACAATATTCAACTTACAATATTTGACTTTAAGGGTATAGTTTCCTGCAACTAAACCTTCTGTGAAACCATTCTGAGTATGATCAACTCTGCGGTAAAGTTTTCTGAAAGTAGGCAATGCAGCAGTCCTCATCCATACAATTAAATCTTCATTTTGGAATCCGTTGTTATCATTATTATCAGGATCTAACTCCCAGATATGTTTACTCCAGTTTTTAGGCTTGGCAAAATCTTTAAATGCTATCTTCAAGTCACCTTTAGGATTTCTGAATTTGATATTCTTATCAGATGGCCAAGCTATGCCAGTATTTAATAATGGTACATTCTTATTGTCATGTCTTGCAGAAAGCAGTGTTAATTTGTCACTAAAAAGTGAGTTTGCAATAGCTCCACATGGAGCAATAGGAGTTCTGTTTGTTTCTTCATAGGCAAATGGTTCACAATCACTGGAGACAATTAGAGTTAAATCACCTAATAATTGATTGTCATCGCGAGACTTGACATATCTACGATGATTTTGGTAAAAATTTGTCAGGCCGTAATACATATAAACCTTTCCACGAAAATCAACAGGTAAAGTAAAATTTTTCTCACAAAAACAATCTTTACTAGGATCTTCTGCAATTACATCTGCACATTTCCTAGGCTGTCCATCACTTGTAGTAAGATTGATAGAATTACAATTGGTGTAATCTATAATATGTTCCTTGACTTCATCGGAGAAATAAAGCAGTCCTATACCAACTGGTATAAATGCAACTCCTATTACAAAGAATGTAGGTAGAACTGTGCCAGCTGTAAGTATTGGCTGCCAAGCTGGTAATCTTTGCTGTTTGAATGCGCTATCTGTGTACAAACAAATGTTGATTATATATATATATAAATATATTTTTTTTTTCTTAAATATCATATATATGAATATACGTATATTAAATATTTTGAATAAATAAAAACATAGGAATATATATATATATGCATATATATTTTCTTTATAAGTTTATCAGTGTTATTAGTTTTATAAATTGCTAATAGCAATTTATAGATAGGTTTAATCGTATGCATATAATCATCATATATCATCAGACAGGAAGGAAACACGAAACTCGAGCGGAAATAATATCGATAAATGTCAAAACGATGAATGTCTTAAATTAATATTTTTTATTAACTCCTAGAATATTTACCTGATGGTTTCTTTGATTTAGGCACCGCATCGACTTCGCTGATGGATGTCATGATTAGGCAATGACGACACGATTAATATTTGACAGATTCCGAACATATCGTGTCAATCGCCATTTGCAAAATTAGAAAATAGTTATGGCGCTCTCAGGCTTCTCTCTGGTTATGGCTTCTGCATACGTAAAGCCCTAAACACAATGCCAGGCAACAGGCAATAAGAATAAAAATAGATCAATCACAATAGATTATTCTTGTAATAGTCAATTGTGTTTGGTCTATTTTTATTCTTATTGCCTGTTGCCTGGCATTGTGCTTAGGGCTTTAGGCTAGGTCTGTTCTTTTTATGACCATATCTATCAACCTTGGCCGTGTTCCAAAATTCACTGCCAGCGCTGAAAAGTTATAGTTTATGTGACACAAACTATATATTCTCGGTACTGGCAGTGAATTTTGGAACACGGCCCTTGTTAACTCAATCGGCTGGTTATTCCAACGAAATTATCCAATTCCATCTATCGTTAATCAGTATTGGCAGTATTGGGCAATTACGATGGAATAATAAGCCGGTTAAGTTAATCACAGTCGGTAGAAACAGGCATTACGTTCAATTTCTTCATCTCTAAATAAGTTGTTGATAACTTTATCCATGAGATATCTGCCAGAATCGATTTTCTTCACCGTGTATTTCCATCCATCTTCGGAAATGTACCAATCAGAACGCAGTATTTCCATCCAGTAAGCAATTCACGAAAATAAGCACCGTGCGCCGCTGGCTTTAGGCAGGTTGCACACAAAACGCGGCATATTCAATCCCAATCCATAGTCTGATAGCAGAGAGGAAGCTGAGAGCGGCCAACACGGCGTTTTCGGCAACACCAATTTTTCGCACTGGGAATGGACGCTATCTGCATCCATTTTGAGAGGGGAACTACGATACTACATCCACTTTTAGGTCTCGACGGTAAAACCTGCATCTGGTGGCTGTCCGTGCTACATCCACTTTCAGGCGGTTTATGTACGTGCTACAACCATAATAGCGTACTTGACAAGCACGGTCTCGCGCATTGTTATGCATTTGTAACATGAATTAACATGTTAACATGCACAAAAAAAATAAGAATTGAGATTGTATATGATTAATATCATGAAGATTATATACGATTTATATCGATATATAAATATGATAATAAGATAATATTTTGTGTATACCCAAAATTATTTTTCCAAAATATTTCAGCGTTACGTTAGTATTTATTTATACTCCGGCAGGCGTCTTTTAGCGCAGTTGTGTCCGTGTGCATGTGTTGCATTGAAAGCGTGCGTGACGTACGTGTGCATATACGCACACACATGTGTCATACGCAACAGATAGAATCTCAGGGTATATGCTTAAACATTTTCAATTGCCGTACATTTCTATGTAAGAATGTAGTCGGCACACACACCCAGAGAAACTGCTCCCGTCTATCCGTCTGAAGTCCTGCCCTCCGCTCGGCTTGTTTTGACGAGCCAAGCGAAAGAGAGAGAGAGAGAGAGAGAGGGAATGTGTTCGCTCCATCTCGCTCTGATTCGCAACGTTGCCGAGATTGTGCTTCCCAACACACGGCCGAGACTGACGTTTCACTCTCGGCGTGAATCCAACGAGATCATCAATAGCAATCGATTTCGACTAAACTCGTTGTGTCGATAGATTTGCATGACAAATTAACATTGCACTTAAAGATACGGCGTAGTATTGAAGCGTTTGCAAGAAAGTCGCGATAGAAAATCGCGAGTGCTACATGAACCAAATGAAGGGCCAAGCTTCTCAAAGAGCGTGTGGCTTGGTGGAAGTACGCTGGAATCGCGTGGTTGAGGTCGGTGGTTCCCATCTCCTTGGCGATAGGCGTTGTCCTCTTTCGCCAATCTTTTTTTTTTTCGTTTTTTAGGGAAATGCACGTGTTGCATACAACATACGTGTACCACAATAAATTTTTTTTCATTTTTAAAGAAAAAGCACGTATTGCATACAACACACGGGCATTTTAAGCATTGCACGTTTCGTCGATGACACTTCCTTTGAGATCCCGCCCTACGCTCGAATTGTTTCGACGAGCCAAGCTAAAGACAGACAGAGAATGTATTCGCTCCATCACCATCTCTAACCGTTTAGGAGATAACGAAGGTTAAAGTTTTCCAACATTCCTCCGTTGATATCTCCGCTTCTACTGGGAGCAGAGAGTCATCATTTACGGCAAAATGTAGGGCTTTCAGAGGACTTTAATTTGGTGTCAAAACCAGGCCTGTACCTCTACCCGTTTAGGAGATATCGAAGATTAAAGTTTTCTAACCTTTCTCCGTTGATATCTCCGCTACTACTGGGAGTAGAGAGTCGCCATTTACGGCAAAATGTAGGGTTTTGAAAGGACTTTAATTTGCTACCAGAACCAGGCTTGTATATCTAACCGTTTAGGAGATATCGAAGGTTAAAGTTTTCCAGCCTTTCTCCGTCGATATCTCCGCTTCCACTGGGAGTAGAGAGTCGTCCATGTAGTGCAAAATGTAGGGTTTTGAAAGGGCTTTAATTTGGTACCTGTCCGAAGCCTGTATCTCTAACCGTTTAGGAGATATCGAAGGTTAAAGTTTTCCAACCTTTCTCCGTCGATATCCATCTTTCATCCGTCGATATCTCCGCTTCTACTGGGAGTAGAGGGTCGTCCATGTAGTCCAAAATGTAGGGTTTTGAAAGGGCTTTAATTTGGTACCTGTCCGAAGCCTGTATCTCTAACCGTTTAGGAGATATCGAAGGTTAAAGTTTTCTAACCTTTCTCCGTCGATATCCAGCCTTCATCCGTCGATATCTCCGCTTCTATTGGGAGTAGAGGGTCGTCATTGTAGTCCAAAATGTAGGGTTTTGAAAGGGCTTTAATTTGGTACCTGTCCGAAGCCTGTATCTCTAACCGTTTAGGAGATATCGAAGGTTAAAGTTTTCTAACCTTTCTCCGTCGATATCCAGCCTTCATCCGTCGATATCTCCGCTTCTATTGGGAGTAGAGGGTCGTCATTGTAGTCCAAAATGTAGGGTTTTGAAAGGGCTTTAATTTGGTACCTGTCCGAAGCCTGTATCTCTAACCGTTTAGGAGATATCGAAGGTTAAAGTTTTCGAACCTTTCTCCGTCGATATCCAGCCTTCATTCGTCGATATCTCCGCTTCTATTGGGAGTAGAGGGTCGCCATTGTAGTCCAAAATGTAGGGTTTTGAAAGGGCTTTAATTTGGTACCTGTCCGAAGCCTGTATCTCTAACCGTTTAGGAGATATCGAAGGTTAAAGTTTTCTAACCTTTCTCCGTCGATATCCAGCCTTCATCCGTCGATATCTCCGCTTCTATTGGGAGTAGAGGGTCGTCATTGTAGTCCAAAATGTAGGGTTTTGAAAGGGCTTTAATTTGGTACCTGTCCGAAGCCTGTATCTCTAACCGTTTAGGAGATATCGAAGGTTAAAGTTTTCTAACCTTTCTCCGTCGATATCCAGCCTTCATCCGTCGATATCTCCGCTTCTATTGGGAGTAGAGGGTCGTCATTGTAGTCCAAAATGTAGGGTTTTGAAAGGGCTTTAATTTGGTACCTGTCCGAAGCCTGTATCTCTAACCGTTTAGGAGATATCGAAGGTTAAAGTTTTCTAACCTTTCTCCGTCGATATCCAGCCTTCATCCGTCGATATCTCCGCTTCTATTGGGAGTAGAGGGTCGTCATTGTAGTCCAAAATGTAGGGTTTTGAAAGGGCTTTAATTTGGTACCTGTCCGAAGCCTGTATCTCTAACCGTTTAGGAGATATCGAAGGTTAAAGTTTTCTAACCTTTCTCCGTCGATATCCAGCCTTCATCCGTCGATATCTCCGCTTCTATTGGGAGTAGAGGGTCGTCATTGTAGTCCAAAATGTAGGGTTTTGAAAGGGCTTTAATTTGGTACCTGTCCGAAGCCTGTATCTCTAACCGTTTAGGAGATATCGAAGGTTAAAGTTTTCTAACCTTTCTCCGTCGATATCCAGCCTTCATCCGTCGATATCTCCGCTTCTATTGGGAGTAGAGGGTCGTCATTGTAGTCCAAAATGTAGGGTTTTGAAAGGGCTTTAATTTGGTACCTGTCCGAAGCCTGTATCTCTAACCGTTTAGGAGATATCGAAGGTTAAAGTTTTCTAACCTTTCTCCGTCGATATCCAGCCTTCATCCGTCGATATCTCCGCTTCTATTGGGAGTAGAGGGTCGTCATTGTAGTCCAAAATGTAGGGTTTTGAAAGGGCTTTAATTTGGTACCTGTCCGAAGCCTGTATCTCTAACCGTTTAGGAGATATCGAAGGTTAAAGTTTTCTAACCTTTCTCCGTCGATATCCAGCCTTCATCCGTCGATATCTCCGCTTCTATTGGGAGTAGAGGGTCGTCATTGTAGTCCAAAATGTAGGGTTTTGAAAGGGCTTTAATTTGGTACCTGTCCGAAGCCTGTATCTCTAACCGTTTAGGAGATATCGAAGGTTAAAGTTTTCTAACCTTTCTCCGTCGATATCCAGCCTTCATCCGTCGATATCTCCGCTTCTATTGGGAGTAGAGGGTCGTCATTGTAGTCCAAAATGTAGGGTTTTGAAAGGGCTTTAATTTGGTACCTGTCCGAAGCCTGTATCTCTAACCGTTTAGGAGATATCGAAGGTTAAAGTTTTCTAACCTTTCTCCGTCGATATCCAGCCTTCATCCGTCGATATCTCCGCTTCTATTGGGAGTAGAGGGTCGTCATTGTAGTCCAAAATGTAGGGTTTTGAAAGGGCTTTAATTTGGTACCTGTCCGAAGCCTGTATCTCTAACCGTTTAGGAGATATCGAAGGTTAAAGTTTTCTAACCTTTCTCCGTCGATATCCAGCCTTCATCCGTCGATATCTCCGCTTCTATTGGGAGTAGAGGGTCGTCATTGTAGTCCAAAATGTAGGGTTTTGAAAGGGCTTTAATTTGGTACCTGTCCGAAGCCTGTATCTCTAACCGTTTAGGAGATATCGAAGGTTAAAGTTTTCTAACCTTTCTCCGTCGATATCCAGCCTTCATCCGTCGATATCTCCGCTTCTATTGGGAGTAGAGGGTCGTCATTGTAGTCCAAAATGTAGGGTTTTGAAAGGGCTTTAATTTGGTACCTGTCCGAAGCCTGTATCTCTAACCGTTTAGGAGATATCGAAGGTTAAAGTTTTC